TTATTCGGTGATTTACTCCGAATTTACTTTACAGATGCGAATGCGATGAATGGAGGAGTAAGTATAGGCTAATACAAAAAGAAAAATTAATAACCGTCAACAAATAAAGTGACTAGTTGATTTAAAACATGTTAATTTTTTCCGTTTTGTCAATTCATTGTGTTGATACTTCGTATCAGTGGCGTACCTAGGATTTTCTAAAGTCCTAAAAAAGGTTTGTTCAGGTACCGATGAAGTAACTGATAGAGTTACAAATAATTGCAATTTGTATTTTAGCATTTTTATTGGACAAATATTTCTTCTGAGACTAAACTAACAAAGAAAACTTACACAATAATACACAAATGACCAAGTGTAAAAAAAACGGTAGCACAGTGGGGTCGTGGCACAGTACGAACGTGGCATAATTGAGATAAGTATAGATAATATCTGACAGTGATTAAAATCACTATCTTAACAAACGCTTCGATGCAAATCTGTAGATAGTGTGTGATTTTAAGAAATTGGTGGATTATTTAAAAGCAAAATTAACTCATATTTTTTGTTTTACTTCGACTGCCATTTGCACATAAAAAATAGGTCGATTGACTTTAAAAAGGCAAAATAATCAAAAGTTCTTGAGGTTTCAATAAAAAAAAATTATTTTTATTTGCTTATTTTTTTCAAAAATTTATAACAGTTTTAAAAAAAAAAAGTCAAAATTTAAAGATTTTAAAAAATGTAATTTTTTGGGGATTTGGATCATTTACAGAGACCTAGGGAAATTTATATTATTGCTAAATGTTATAAATATTTTAATTTATCATAAGCCATTTGTTTCAAGTTTACAAAAATATATACCAAAAGAAAAGAAAATACCTATGGTATTTAAAAAAATTGTTGATATTGTAATTATAATTATAATTACTAGATATTTGTACCTATTTTCCAAAATTACAATAAAACTATAAAAAAAAAAAATATGTTAAATTAATTGAGTTTAATTAATAACAAAATTAAATCAGATTAAATCTTTTATAAAAATATGAGACCTTAACTTAGGTTTCTCGACATTCTTGAATTAATGGGTTTACTAAAAAATGAATAAAAAATATTTTACATAATAACTGAAACCAATTAATTTATTTTATCAAAAAATTTTATTTAATTAAAAATGTTTTTTACCTTCATTATTGCAATTAATAATTAGGTGTATTCTGAGGTTTTCAAATGTAAAAGATCTTCTATTGTTTGACAATATCGTTTTATAAGCTGAAAATGTGTGTTCGATAATAACCGATGTAATAGGGGCATATTTAAACTATATCGTCACTGGAATAGTCTTCGGGAAAATCACTGAAGCCATATGTCCACTGTCATCTTCACCATTCAGTATTTTTGATATTTTTTCAATAATTCTCAAGCCATCATTTTTGTCAAAAACTTTATTTAGTATAGTAATAATTGGTTTCCCGTGATTACCTTTTAATGTAGAAAATGTCTCTTGTACATTTTGAACCACTGCTAGTGAATCACATAGTAAAACATCTTTTTTTTGTAGTTCTATAATGGCTTTGGTAAGAATTTCAAAATTAAATAGATAAAGCTCTACAAAATATTTTTTTCATATTTGATATTAATTCATCAACTGTACCAAATTGTACGAACATTTCTCCGGCAATTCTGTGTAGTCCGTGGGCACAACAAGTAATGTGAATCATTTTTGTATATACATTTTTAAGAACACTACCTGATTTTACCATATAGGGAGCAGCATCTGATAACAATAATAAGACGTTATTGTATTTTATATCAACAGGCTATATAAACCCCATTGCTTTTTCAAATAGTTTACAAATAGTTGAACGATTGGTTTTCTCTAATTCTTCTGAGTGTAGGAAAAATAACGGCCTGGACAATCTGGTCTAAGAATTCCAACAATAACATTGGTTATAAACCGTCCTTCAACATCACATGTCTCATCAATTGACACCTAAATTTTGTTTTGTTGAATTTCCATTTTCATTTTATCCATAGTAGTATAAAACATATCATCAATATAACCTTTTCGTAATGTCGATTCCGTTGGGATACTATTACCAGTATACTTCTCTAAAAATATTCTAAATATATTATTGGAAAGCTTATTTAACAGAATATTGGCAGAAACCATGGCTTGGCATAAATCCATATTAAAATTTGATTTCGCAGAATTTTTACTAATTAAAAGTGTTTGAGCTTTATTCTTCGCATATTTTTCGTAACGCTCTACACTGCTAATGTATTTATCAGTTCTTAAGTGTTGTGATATATTATACTTCTTTCCAAACTTTATCTTTATTTTTGTGGACAAAATTTCAGACCCGAATACTAAAACGTATTTTTTAAAAAGTACACTACCTAATACCTTTTCTTTTACCATTTTATTTTAAACACACGACCAAGATCAACTAATCACTAGTTAATACAACATGATCGGTTATCCCTATCGTGGTTATCATATTACGATGGTCTCTTACTATTTATAAAATATATTATTTATTGATAATGCCGAAATAACAAAAATTAGTTCTAATGTCTGCCATAAACTTAGCACTCTGCTACTTATTATGTTAATCCAAAAATATAAGCAAATGCTTTAAGTTCCGAGCCCTGATTATCATAGATAATAAAATGATACTGTACATGTATAATGAACTGTATCAGTATATATTGACAACACGTAGTTAACAGATATGATATTCATGATAAACTGATCTATTAATTTAACTGACTTTAATTTTTCTAAAGTATCTTAAAATAATCAGCGCTTTTCAACTGTATTATTTCTCCTAAATTTGAAGAATTTAATACTCAATTATTTAGTTTTAAATGATTCTGTAATAACTTACTGAGCAGTGTATCTTCATTTGTGTAGTTTTATTACTTTAAACAATATTTTAAAAGACTTTTCTTTGAGTAAGTTTATTGTATTCATCATAACCAATTTTCATACGATATACCTAATCAGTATCACAATCTCTAAAAGTCAAACTATAGTTTTACGTTCATTCTTAGTACAGATTTAAATAAAAATAATCATTTTTATTTCAACAGGTGTAAATATATTATTAACATATTAATTTTAAAATTCATAAACTCGATCAATGAATATGTGACTAAAAAATAAAAATTGTAAAGAAGGTAAAGAATTCACATTCAATTTGTTTAATTATGAAATTCAGTTTTCAGGGTCATAATATCTGCTAAATTAATAAAATAAATCTGTAATATTTTCATTTTTATATTCTGATTACATGAAATATTGTTATACATTTAATAATATGAAACTAATAGTCTATAAGGATAATTTTAAAAATTTTGAGAGGAATTTGCCATTTTTTCATATTAGGCTAATTCGAAGTTAACCACATAAGGGCGATTGATAAGTAAAATAATTTGATTAATTTTGCCTTAGTTTGATAGATAAAATCAATCAATGTAATTTCTCTTTATTAATTGATATGACGACACACATATCATGCAAATATCATGTATACCATTTTAATGTGATAAAACTGACATGTCTTAACTACTTAAAACAATAAATATCATTAAAAAAAAATTACATTAAAAATTAAGTGAAAATATTTGGTTATTATTGAACATGATCTTAAACAGTTTAAATGTCCGTGAACGAATTAAAGTTTTGTTGATATCTGTCCAATTCTATATTTAACAGAGATACGGTCTGTTATGCACGTTATTGACCGTATTAAGAAAAGCCTATCATCGTTGTAAACACATTGGAAATGACTGAAGTCTCAACGACAAGATGTTGGCAATACTTCAAAGGTTTTTAATATTATTCAATATTTATATTAATATTGTGCGTGAGATTTTTAACTAACATATATATTTATCATATTTAATAATATATCAAATTAAATATTTTTAATATTTCAGAATTTAATCATGAACAAAAATGTCATTCTTAAACAAAATACTAAAATTAATTTTTTTGTTAAAAATAAATTTAAAATTGTTTGTAGTGTCCAATTTTATTTCATTTTTATTTGTGATTATTCCGTTTAATTAGCTGCAATTTCAATTCTTATTTAATTATCAAATAATGAACCGAATCGTATCAAACCCAACATTGGTTCTATCATAATTTGTTAATGTAACATAATTTTTAATCCATTGTTTAATTGGAAACATTGGTTGTTCCTTTACTTCTTTTAACATTATAAAACGTAAATAAAGCATGCCGTTCTTTACTTTATTTTCTGTTAAAATAGCTAATAAATCTTATTTGCCACAAAATTGTGAAAAAATTTCATTAGAATTAAAAGTATATTTTGAATTTTAAGTATTTTTTTGTGGCTGCTTTTTACCAAGGGTTTTTTACACAATGGATTTCCGTTCCTTTATTTTAAAAGAAAATTTTATCCAATGATTATTTTCCGTAGCTTGTTTTTCCGTCTACTATCCAATACTTATATTATTCTAATAATGTTTTATATAACCAGATCATCTTGAAACACTACCCAGGTATTAAAATAAGTATGATTAAAATAAACATGATCAATAATTTGTTTATTGGACAGTGTGATTAAATTTAGGGTTTTTTTATATGTTTTTAATATTATGCATTTTATGTCAGCATCGAAAAATGGATGAATGTAAAAACTGTAGGTATAAAGTTAAAAAAAAAATTGATTTGAAATTTGTTTTTGGCTCATGGTTCTAAATGAAAACTTCATTCTATAGTACATTATTTGCACTCACTTGACATAACAATTCCTTCTTTATTTACAAGAAAAATAGTAATAGTAATAACAATAGTAGTAATAATAACAATAATATGTGTTAAAACCGTTATTACCAACATTTTGTGCACACTTTTCTAAAATATACTTATTTTACTCATTCTACCATAACCACTAACCGCAGCTGCTGCCTATGGCCAGGCGTAATACAGTCACCATAGCGACTAATTTCGATAACACAACACATATCGTATTAGTGAACATGTGTATGTTAACTCTATGAGTTTTTAACATTTTAATGTTTTATTTAGTTATTTCCGTTTATTTCTGAACAGGAAATTTAAAAAGAGTTGAACGTGTTATGAAGTTGAAACATTTACAAACATTGGTAGAAGTAGAAGTAAGTTCTTAATACTACGCGCTTGGAAAAAATTTCCTACACGAAAAATTAGAATTGTAATGAAATTAATTTAATGATAGATTACTAAAAACAAAATTATACAATTAATACTTAATAAAAATAAATAGTTTTAATACATAAAGTGCTTAAAAAATAAATGAAAACAACAAATGTAATTGGACAAAATGTGATGTCTTCAAATTATTCTAATAGTTATATAGTCTCATAAAATCTCTATAAAAAACACTTAATCAATTATTGCAGATAGTTTTTATGAATTTATGAATACAGAAAAATGTGAAGCAATAATATACGTATAAAATTCAATGACGATTTGTTAAAAATATCTTTAAGAGTAAGTTTGATAAGAAAAACAATGATAACACGAAATACTATCAATTTGATTTTTATAAACTCTACTATGAAATAAATTCAGATTTGTTATAATAAGTTACTATTTTTGAATAAAAAAATCATATCATTTATTATTCCTTGTTCGTATTGTTTCAATTGACCTTATATAAAGAAACTTTTTGATGGTCAATATCACATTAATATAGATTTATAGAGGTACCAGAAAACTGCTCTGAAAACAGTTTAAATGTGAACTTTGTCCTAGTAATCACTGGAAAAAAAACTACAAAACTTTACATTGCTAATCAATTATAGTCTGTTGCACAAGAAATAATCCACATAATTACTAGTATGTAAACTAATAAAGTCTACAAATAAGATTATGTTAACTGAAATTTATTGGACTAAACTATCTTATTAGTTTTACCATTAACTACTAATGTGTAATTTGAAAACAATGTAATTTTTCTTAACTTAATCAAAGTTTGTTACTTAACCTATTTAAATTAATCAGACAATATAATTCATTAATAAAACTGGTTGTTATATTAGTTAACATTGTAAGCAGAGTAATTGTCTATCTATATTATTAACAACAATATAAAAGTCTCATTTATTTTTCGTTAATTGTAAATCGATTTAAATGCATTTTTTAATCGACTAAAAAATCACTAAATTATTTTTATGAAAAAATTGAATGGGTAGTAAATTTTAAAATAAATTATAAATTAAACAAAAAAGCCTGTGTAAAATTATTAACAACACTTCTCTGTAATTGTTAAATGAACTCATAAAATTAACTTGACATCTCAACTTCTATATGTATTTAATCACAATTTTCTTCATTAACATACGATGACATATTTTCAGAATTACTGTGAAGTTACACGCTCAACTTCTTGTAGTTGTTATCAGTTCAATTTTCATAAATATAATGTCCATTAAAACACTTCAATATGATGTTCATCTTCAATTAAATAATTGTAGACGAATGCATAACATTCAATATTATGCAATCGATGCGTTTTTCCTTATATAGAAGAAATGGAATGTGATTTTTTTAAATTTTTAGAACCTATTTTATGTATGAACAGAATTGTTTTTTTTTAACTTAACAAATATAACTTTGAATAGCCCTTTCATCCTATAATTTTTTTTTTAGATGACATAAGGCAATGTTAATATTTTCAATTACATTTACTCTTTACATTTTAATTTTTTTGATAAAGTAAGATTATGACTACGTGTAATTAATTTATCAAGTCATCAGTAAGATACCATACAGATAGTTACTTATTTTTTAAAACTAACTGAACTTAAACTTCAACTAGCCAAAAAGAAATCATTAACTTGCCCAATCTTGCTTACAATTTTGATACACGTTCATCCCATAAAAATAATGAAATATAATTATTTATGATATCTTCGTAAAAATTTTAATATTAAGTTATTAAATAATAATAGTTTACTTATTTTAATTACAACTATAAGTATTTATTTAAGTTTTGTGCTTATAAATTTAATTTAAATGTATCCATTTTTATGAAAAATCAATATTTTACAAAAAGAATATTGTACACTTTAATTGGGATATAGTATACTTAAAAAATCACATTGAATGTCAGATATGCAGAACTGCAACACTTGGTTAACTTGTCTAAAAAGTTAGGGGCCAAATACGTAGGTCCATTTTTTTCAAACAATTCTTATTTTAATTTATCTATTTTTTTTAAATTTTACTTATTTATTCTTGAGAGAAACAATTTTTAACGAAACGATCTATTAATGTGACAAAACTGTGTATCTAATTCAACAGCAGCAAAAACAATTTTTAAATAAATACTTTAGATATTTTAAATAAAATTGTAGTAGACGGAAGTTAATCTTTGAGTTTTAAGTAAAAAGACTAAACACCTCTTAACGCTACTAAACACAATCGATTGTTAGAAATGTCTAATAATAATGTTACAAACACGACATAACGAAGAATAAAAAAAACCCAGCACAGGGGGGTCGCGGCACAGTGGTGACGTGGCATAGTTGGATCAAGTATAATGATATCTGACAGTGATTAAAATCACTATAAAAAAAAAACGCTTCGATGCAAATCTTTAGATAGTGTTTAATTTTAAAAAATTGGTGGATTATTCCAAAAGCTTCATAAACTGCTAGTTCCTTATTAATATCCTGATTAAGATAAAGTATGTCGAATAAAAAAGAGATTATTAAAAAATAGTATTTCTCATAAAAAAATAATGTTGATCCATACACTTTTCAATAAGTTATAGCATTCTAAAGTTAAAAATGTAAAAAATAAAATTGAGAATTTTCACACAATAATAGCATTTGGTAGCCATTTTCACCGTGAAGACAAAATAAAGTCTGAAATTTTTTTTTTTCATGATAAAGTATATTACATTAGCTTTAATTTAAGATATATATAAAAGTGTCAGACCTTCCGGAACACTTTCAAAAGTTAAGTTGAAAAAATTAATTTTTTTGTAAAAAAGTTGTCATTTTAAATCCCCTCCTGTGGGCAGGTAAAAAGTCAGATTTATAAAAAAAATATACCAAATGATAGGTAATGACATCATGCATCTATAAAAAAAAAATAATATTGATTTGTGCATTTTTGAAAATGTAATTGTAGTTTTAAGAAAAAAAAAAGAAAAAAATTTCGAAAATTAGCGATTTCTAAATTTATAATATTTTTTGAGGTTTCCCCCATTTACGGGGAATGAGGGAAATTTTTCAATTTTTAAGGGTAATGTCTTCGACTAGATACGATTTGTGATCTTTTGACGTATCATTGAAAGAAATCTTGTTTTTTTTTTTGATTTTTTGAATTGAGAAAAAGTGGTAACAGACAAAAAAAAAAAAAAAAAAAACACATCTTAGTAAAATCAATACCTTCTCAGCTTCGCATCGAAGCTAATATAATTCTATTATAAAACTATTGACAAAAAAAACTATGCAATATACTGACGAAAAAATAATTGAATTATCATATGAAAGACTGTCTATGACGTCGAGAATAACTGCTCTTATATAGTGTGGGGAAAACCTCTAGATGCGGTGCGATAACGACACACGGCGTTAAACATTCGAGTATCTTCCATTGCGTACTCTTTGCAATGAACCGGTTTTGATCTGATAAATTAATTTAATCTCATTATTTTGAAAATTGTCAACGTCGTAGAAAGTATAATTACTATAATTTGTGGGCTTTTTTTCTCTGCTTATTCATTTTTGCTACTTTTATAAGTGAAAATAATCGTCTGATCAAAAATTTTCATATAACAATTAAAGATAATTTTAATTTTGACTTTCTATCATAAATATTGAAAACAGCTGATACTCTAGTAAAATACATGCAATGTTTACAATGTAATTTTCCTATATGTTTACATGTCATGTTAAACATATAGAAAAACCCAATTATTAATAAGCCATTAAAAAAAAAAAAAATTTAGGAAGAAAACATTTTTTGTTTTATATAATACACAATTTTGAGGAAAGGAAGACAATATGTTTTTTTTTTAATATGTATAGGTCTAATATGATGTTCAAAAACAGGGACAATCATTTTACATAACATTTAATGTTAGCCCCGTAATAGCCGTTACAGGAAAATATCTTAGACGAAGAGCAATAATATGTAGCTTCGATACGACGCTGAAAAGGTGATTTTGGAATTGTAATGGTGTGTGTTTTTTTTATGTCTGTTCACAAAAATTCTCAGCTCTCACTGGACCTATTTTAATGACGAATACATCAAATGAGCTCTATTATAAACTAGTTATAACCTATCAGCGCTATCGCTGATATTAATCGCATAATTTTAGAATGAAATTAGTAACCATAAGCATAAAATAAAAAAAGCAAATTAATGAACAAAATAAAAGGTTAACCGCATTAATGAAATTACAGCCCTTTTATGTTCTAGGGGTGTGTCCCCACACTTATTCGATTTAGTCGGTAATTTTTTAATATAAGAAAATTCTACCAAAAAATAATGATTAAAAAAAAGGTTTTATAAATAAAAAAAAAATTATTCAATCTGCAAAAATAATATTGATAATTGAATTAACTGTCATATATACTAGATGTTGATTTGATGCCCAAGTCTTTTAAGTACAATTTACGTTGTAGCTTGTTTATTAAATAATCATATTTCCCTCGATATCCATAGAAATGTCTCAAAGAATTTATTGAAAACGACGTCGATGATCACATGTAGAAATTAATTATTATATTTTCATTTTTTATAGAATGGACCATGTCGAGTTTTGGCTGTTGCGTGGGCACCAAATAACCAAAAATTGGCGGTGTGCAACAATGACCGTGTGGTATTGTTGTACGACGAGAACGGTGCGAAAAGGGACAAGTTTCCGACAAAACCTGTGGACCACGGGGTAAATTTAAAGTGGCGGGGTATTATATTTGGGGTAGTAAGTCGAGGGGCTTATGTACACCCAAAACGCTAACCGACTACAAATCGGTGTATTTAAATGCATTAGGAGGAAGAGAGATGAACATAAACTCGTAAAATCATTCAGTGTATCCTAACCCTCCAACCTTGTTTTAACCAGTCCATTTTGTTTTTATGAAGGTTCTCGGAGGCGTCATTATTTTATTCATCCCAGTGGGACAGCATTATTTTATTGTAGTTCTGGGAATAGATGACATTATTATTGTTAATAGTACAAATAACAATTCGGTTATCAAAAAGGATTTTTGAAATACGCGTAAAATTAGATGCGAATTAAAATTTTTTTTCCATAATAGAATTACAACAATTTAAACGATTTGTTACAATGAGTAAACATATTATAGTTAAAATAACAAATCAATATGTTTCAAATTGCGTTTTTAATTATTCAATTAAAGTTACTCTTTTTGCACAAAGCAAATTTGATGCCATTTATTTTAGGAATATAAATAACTAATAACATTTCTGCGTCTAAATTTACCGTTTATATACTTGAACGACGATTTTAAATTATAATATCAATTTTTTACTAAACTATTTTCTGCCAATGGTTTTCAATAATTACATAATTCTATTTTGAACAAAGGCGGGTCGCAAAAGTTACACAGTCAAGGGTTTAGCATTTTCACCAGATTCCACAAAAATAGCCGTCGGGCAAACCGACAACATGGTGTTCGTGTACAAAATTGGCGACAGTTGGTGAGTTACATGGTTGTGTTTAGAAATGTAAAACACTCAGTTCCGTGTATATATTTTGAATATACATGTTAATGGCATGTGTTTATTTGGAATTACAGGGGAGCCAAAAAGGTGATATGCAATAAATTTAGTACACAGTCTCCTGTGACCTGTATGCTGTGGATGTCTGAAGGGCCGATAATTTACGGGCAATTAGACGGCAAGATACGAGCTGCCCACCACAAGACCAATAAATCTCAAACCCTTTACGCTTCTGGTTCATATGTTGTATCGTTAGCTTCTAAGTAAGTTAATCGTTTTGAATATTTTTATTTATTAATGCACATACTAATACTATCGATACATCGCAGTTGTATATTTTACCGTTCATAAGGTAACACAACCAATGAACGAACGCCACTGAGTATTTAACTAAAAAATTGTGTTATCTCATTGAAAATTTTTTATATTTTCTCATACTGCTGTATGAAAAATTGTTGGAAATTTTACTAGCTATTCATTCTCTGAAGAAAATAATTTCCATTATAAAATAATAAATTGAAATTTTATTTTTAGTTAATTAAAAATAATTTTTCAATATTACTATAAAGAAATTTCCAGACAACAAACATTTTTTTCTTAAATACAATTAAGTGTAGAAATTACGTTCCACATCTACAAAAATTCATCGCGGCTATGATTTTCAATAAATTTTAGTTATGATACCAAGTTTAAATGAATTTATGTAGCAATAAGTAGAGTAAATATACGAAATTTTCAAGCACTCCAATTAAGAAAAGTTAAACTAAGCAGATGGCTTTACCATTTATTACAGAAACAATTAGTTTAGCTATCCCATAAGTCATAATAAGAGAATATTACACGTTTTGTTTATAATAATAACATAAGACTCACAAGGATTTGAACATTATGTTAGTTATATAAAATGTTATGAAAACCTGTTTAGCTAGCTTGTACAAAGTGTCTCAAGTTTAACTGACAACTTTTAAAACTTTTGATACAGTTATCATTTTGTTGAATTCTTTTTTTAATAATTACCTTCTTAGACTACGTTTAAAGCCTATTTTCTATTTATGTCTAAATTAAAACAAAAAAACAATTTTTTTTTAGGTATTTTTCTTAAAAAAATATTAATTGACCAATAACAATGTTAGGGCAAATACATACTGAATTACAAGGATTTTAATACATAAAGTGAGTATGGAACAGCGTGGAGTGTACGTACACCACAATGAACTGCATCAACTCAAACTATATATATTTATTCTATATTTTAAATTACATGTTACTGAATGAGTACTTATCTTATAATTTTTATCGACTTTTCACCTTTTTTTGTACAATACGTCTAAAAAAATAGTAATTTTGAAATATTGAAAAAATAATTTTTTTTGTTATTTTGCTTATTAATGATAAATAATAAAACATATGCTTTGAACATAGTTTAAGAAAGCAAAAATTGTTTTTAACAAAATGATAATTGTAGTTATAAATTGTCAGATAAATCTAAGACACTGTATAGTGTAATTGTTATATATTACTATTATTTTTTTTTTCAAACTTAATATGAAATTTTGATAAATTATTGGAAAACATAAAATGGCACATAATTTAATAATCTGGCAATTTAATTGTATTGGTATAAATGTATAACAAGGATTTACTCGATATGGTTTAATTATATTATGATAAGTCTATATTAGCTTACATGCTTGATCAGAAATTAGTGTCCCCGCTGATTTACATTTTTTTTTTAATAAGGATATTATATTTTATATATTGCAATAAAACATATTTTCGGATGGAGAAAAACAAGTTTAGTATCTCCTCCAAACATATTATTCTATTTCTATATCTAAGTATAAATTTTGAGTTTTAACATTTTTATTAATTATTATATATATTTTATATTCATGATATTCTTTAGTACTAGGGGTACTGCTTTTTTATCCGGTCATGCTGATGGCTCAATTGTACGATATTTTTTGACTGAAGGATCATCAAACGAACCACAAGTAAGTATTTTTTACTACTAAAGTTAGGGATTTTATGCACTTATAAATTTTCTTTGAACCACTTGTGGGTCCCAAGTTTGTGCGACTTTACTATTGGTTTATAAAGTAGCATAGAAATATTTTTCATTCTGAAGGATACATCTCCCTAATCTACCCCAAAACTATATTCTCGGTAACAACACATTACTATGTTATTAAGTCGATATTATAAACAATTGTAGTGACTGATGGGGTGTTAAAAATAACTTAACAAAAATTATAAATTCATATAATTCTTAGCCCTAATGAATACAATATTAAAAACTAAAAAAAGTAATACTGAAAACGAAATTAATTTTCACTAGAGCACATATAATACAACGCTATTTTAAATTATTAACTTTATTTAATAACATTATAGTAGATCAAAAATGTATGTTTTTGTTTATAAAACTTTTGTGCTGTTATTTTATTACACGTTTGTCTAGGCAAACATACATAAATAATGTATGACGATTATTTCTTGGGATCTTTGACAGTTTTCTGTTATTCTAAAAAAACAGATATTTTCCCTTAAGACACAATTTATGTCAAAACTTTATTTATCATTTTTATCAGCTTTATCAAAGATAAAATAAATATCTAAATAAATCATTCATAGGTTCCGAGACTATTTTCTTTGTTACTATCTTAATTATAAGTTATTTGTGTTTAATATTACTATTTAGAAATAAAACAAATAAAAGGTAATATTATTTAAAATTTACAACACGAATGTGTATTTAACATTGTTATCAACGCGTGAAAATAAACAATATTGTATATGATATTATAAATAGAATAATATTTCATAGAACTCGCTACGCATTAAAAGTAGTTGCTTTGCAAAAGCAATTTAAATTCGTTAACTTTTCTAAGAATGCTGTATGAAAATGATTCATTATACTTTTAATTTAAAATAACAATGAAAAACTTTTACTTGCATGTTCAAAAATTAATCTCCTCATATGTTATGAAGACTGTTTTAAGTTAGAACCTTGGTCGTTTTCATACATCGTTTTCTACAGCGTAAACAATAATCCCCAAGGACTACATGTCTTCGTTATAATAGCACATAAGTTCTATAGCAAAACAATGTCTTCTAGAACGTACTGTGACACGTCTAACTCTCTATGTCAAGATCATGAGATAATTCTTGTAGACCACACCATAATTTTAAGTGTTTTGTCAGATTATTGTTTAGTCACATGAGAACAAATAATTAATTTGTATAGAATTAATTATATATGCTTAGTGTTTAAAAGGAATTTATTCATTTGAAATGGGAGTTCCTTAAAATTGAAATATAAATATGTTATTCAATTAAATAACTACAGTCTAGAAAACTTAAAAGTCTTAACTTAATAATTTGCCAATAATTTGATTAAATATTCTGTGTTATTGAACAACTGGTTGTTTAAACTGTTCGGTTTGGGTGTGATTATTCGCGTGGTTCAGTTTTTGTTATCAAGAAACGGTTGACGAGAAGACTGTATCGCAACAAGGGTGTAACTTAAAACTAATAGAAACTTAGGATAATCGATAAAACAACAAAATAAGACTATGTATTAAATATAAAACGAATATATATTATATCAATGACCAGAAGAGGCTAACTAATCACCACGAGTCTCAAATACAATAAAGTTTAACAAAAATGTTAAGTTCAGTGGGAATTCTGCGTAGTGGATATGAAGTATTTTTTAGATTAGCATTGATTAATATCTGATCAAAATCGCTGTCGCTTTGATGCGTTTTGTGATCTTTTGATGTGTCGTTGAGCAAAATGATAAAATGCAAGAGAGAGTAATTGTATATAGTGTCACAAAAAAAAAAACACGATAGAACAAAACCAATAGTTGCTCAGCTATGCATGAAAGCTAAAAATAATTAAATAATTACAATAAATAATATATTTTTTTATATCGAACTGATGACTAGCGGTCCAGACGATGAGTGGGTTGAATTGCAGTCTCAAGGTTAATAATTGAATAGTTTTGTATGGAACTGCATCATATTCGTTAGGACACTCTCGTGCACAAGATAGTGCGATGAATCGTAGAGACATGTGCACAGGAACATATAATTTCTACTTAAATAGTAACTAACAACAGGTGTAAAATAGCACCAATACTGGGAGTTGTGGCGCAAAAGCGGCTACCAGTACTGTATGAGTACTGGAATACGTCTAGGATGATAACGGTTGTCCGTACTAACAGATCAGTACAGCAGGTTTTGTATGATCAGTATTACGAAAATACTCTGCCATCAATGGCAACCAAGTACTGACCGTCAAAATTGGATTAGTGCTTAAGAAAGATGCCAATCAGTACTGCGCTATTACGGACTGGACAATAGTCAGTTGCCAGCACTGATGAATACTTCACACGTTGTCAATACTTGTACTTAACAAAAATTTCTGTTTGCGTAGGGCGATTAAATAGAGAGTACAATGTGCTGCTAATCACAAGAATAATTAATCAATAAAAATATCTATACAGTAATATACACTATAGAACAATATCGCAAATACTAACAATGTTAGCAAAATAAACATAAAAAAAGCATTCTTGATAGTCGTTTTAGTACTTTGTATCTCTAGGGATGAGAATCAATCAAGGTGCCTGGTACTTTCACTTCGATTCTTTAAACTTTTTCTATTTAACTTAAAACACTTATTGCCGTAAGTATTTTAAAAATGCTTGAGTCAAAAAAAAAATGTTGTTATAAATAATTTATGTATATTCTTTTCATTAAGTATATACTTATTGAAATTCTGACAACTTACATACCCACAAGAAAGGATAGCAACTTTTCCATGAAAAATTAACCTATTCAACTTAAGTTTTGAAAATATTCCGGAAGTATCTGAGCTTCAAACATATATTATATTATAACTTATGTTACCTACTATAAGATAAAAAAAAATGTATCCAAGTGACTTGTCTTCTTTATGTAAGTGGCCCCCGTTTAAATTTAATCGAAATGTTATTTTTATGTAAAAAAACCATTCCTGTATAATTTTTTTGTTAATTGTTCAAGTCTATACATTGTATGTAATTATTTACAATTATATTAACATAATTTTAATACACTTTTGCCATTGAAGTAATAAAATATATTACTTTATAAATTCTCCGTAAAAATTATAGTACTAATTAATTTCATACTAAATTTAATTACTATAATAAGTATTTATTCATGTATTATATTTATAAATCTGAAAACTTGTAATCAGTATATAATGAAGGGGATAATAATTGGTGTTTCTTTTGAAATAAACTAAAAATTTCTTTGTAAAATTGAACACTATCTACAGAATTGTATTGAAGCATTTTTTGTTATAGTGATTTTATCACTGTTAGATATCATAAATACTTATGCCACTATATCGCATTCCCTGTGGTGTAGATTTTTTTGTACAAAAAACTTTAGGGGGAATTAATATTTTTAAAAGAAATTCTTTTATAAAAACCGTATAACGATTACTTTCTGAATATTGTTCAATACAATTGAATGGACTAGTTTTAAAAGAACGTAGTCTAAGAAAAATTTTTTTTTTTTAAATTTAACTTTTTCCTATCTTATTGTTTTAAACAATTTTTTTGGACATACGTTCATTTTCAACTAGAATATTTAATTAATATATATTAGTTGAGCTTTTTTAAAGTTTTATTTCATAAAGTTGTTATTTTTTAGACAAAGAAAATCATATTACCTAGTTGACAATATAAATTAGAGCCATAGTTCTTGTAAAAGTTATTTACAACTATAATTCTTTCCGTTATATTAATAAATGTCAAATTTGTCTTACAGGGGCGCATCGTTGTACATCCGGTTCCGCCGTATGCATTGTGTTGGGCTTCCGGGTACATAATTGCGGCTGGATGCGACTGTACAGTACATTTTTACGACCAAAACGGACGGTCTAGTAGACAGTTCGATTACTCGCCGACCGGTGGTTGTCAGAATCAAAAAGAATTTACAGTAGCTTGTTGTAGTCCCAGTGGACAGGCCGTTGTACTTGGAAGTTTTAATAGGTTAGACATCTATTTTTTTAATTTCAGTGATATAAAAGTACGTAGTTAAATAAAAGTAAACAATGAGTTCATTATATTTTAAAACAATAAACTTGTTATTCTTTGTATATACACTTGATGTTTATTTTTGTTTACTTGATAGAAATCTTAAATATTAAAAATTTTACTCCCTTTGTACTGCTACATTAAGTAAGATATATTTAAAAACTGTTAATAATATTGAAATTAGCGACCTTTATGATAATAGGAATAGAAAACATAAATATAACTTATGTTTTATGATTTATCAGTTGTTGCTTAAAATGTTTACGGATGTAACCATGTTTTCAGTTATGAGTTGACGTACCTGGACTTGTTGTAAAGTACATCTACAAAGAGATAGTTACAGGCACGTGGTTTAAACTATACTGTCGGCTTAGCTTGTTAATAATTTGTTTTTATATCAGATGATAACTGATAACATCGATGTTGTTTATCTGTTGTTAATAACAACTTTCAGTTTGTTGTTTACATCTAGTTTTTGTTGTTGTTTACGGCATTCTTGGCATTTAGCTTTTTCTTTTCGACACTGGCAATTATCTGTTATGTTAATTGTTGTTTTTTCACACATTAAATTATTTTCTTTTAACCTGGTGTATTATAGGTAATTTTCCGGACATTTTTCTGTTTCTATTGCATCTTTGTACATTTATTTTGAAGAACTAAATACCGTAAACAACAACAACGACAAAAACAAAAAACAGATATAAACAACAAACAGACAGTTGCTATCAACAACAGATAAAAAACATCGACGTTATCAGTTATCAGCCGATATAAAAACAAATTATCAACAAGTTAAGCCGACAGTATAGTTAAAACCACGAGCCTGTAACTAACGCTCTGAAAATAGACTCTGCATAGAGTCTGAAACGTCAGCTTATAATTGAAAACATGAATATATTTCATAAACAAAATTATTTTGTTTTAAGCTTATAAAAATTAATAAATCTTTATTCAATACATTTTTATGTAAAATTAATTATTTTATGAAAAAACAGGATTTATATTCTTAATAAATAACATTGTATTTACAACATTACTAAACTGTGATGTTTGGCTATGTGCTTGGTATTAACAAGGAATTAATTTTAACAAAAATTTTTCAGCAAAATATTTTTTATTTAGTTCCTGAGTATTTAGATACTATTGTATAAATACTTGCATAAGTTAAATATTTACGAAAGTTTTACTTTTGTTCAAATTAATTTCTTTAACTTATATCACGTAAAAGCTATGTTTTAGCTGCACCAAAATCATTTTGATTCCCAGTCATCGATTAAAACAACCTGGTTAAAATTAATCATCAACAAGTTTTATGGCAGAATTTAAATATTCTACAGCATAATAAAACAGAATGCAATAAAATATGTAACTTATCAAGTTAAATATCATACCAATTGCTCGGTACTTTAAGATGAGAAATTATTTTAAACTGTTTAGATATTTCAATAAATTTTTCTCATATAATTTTATGATATCAATACATTAACTTTATGATATTATATTTAGACTTCGTTTATACTCCTGGAGTCCATCAAAATTAACTTGGGAAGAGGAAAACACTTTGTATGTTGATAATATTTACATTATTACATCATTAGCATGGAAAAAAGATGGTTCACGTTTAGTATGTGGTACGCTGTGTGGTGGCGTAGAAGTATTTGAATCGGTGATTAAGTAAGAATTTTTGGTCATGATTAAAATAATAGATTTAAAGAATGTGACTGATATTTATTCGGAAATATTTTGTTGAAAAAAAAAAGAGTAAAAATTATTATAAAAGTAATATATTTATGAAATAAAATTAATTTCTCACCTACATCACAGCGTCTAAAAATAAACTATGTGCTTTTAAAAATTATACTGCTGTGGGGGGTGAATAAACCGATATCATGTCCGATTTTAACCTCAGGTGCATAGCACATATTGTGGGTTTTCAAGTTGATAAATTAATTTAGCCAAAGCTAGACATTAGTGAACTGACTATAATTACTCGGACAAATAAAGCTTAAAGACTATACTCCCAAAGTAATCCTTACCTACCCAAGTAATTGAAAAGGAAGGTATAAAACTAATTAATTGTATACACTTAAATATATACCATATTCAAAAGTGTTGAAGTGGAATAACATGTACATTTTTAGGTTAGTTTTATTGTTTGACTAAAATTCTCTGAGTAATAATTTAAGCTTATTTAATTAGATATTTGATCTATATATCATGGAAACTACTTATATTCGTTAACACTGTTAAGAAAATGTTTACTTTTAATTATTAGAATGCGAGTTAAATTAGTTATACTACACCATATATGATAATAAAATTGAAAAACTTTTGAAAATGGAATAATATAAGACTAAACAAAAAGTAAATATTTGAAAGTTATTTTAAATTAAATCAATAAATTTATATAACTTTGGAACATTATGATACTAACTCTCTATTATGATAAAACTGTATTTTTTTTAAATTTATTTTATTAATGGTTTTTCCCAAATAATTATAAATTATATTTGAGATTTTAACATATTTTTCTAAGACGCAATTTTTGATTTGTAAAGCATTTAAACACGGTATTAAAAATTAGTTTATACTTTATTTAAATTAAATATTCTATATTTCAGACGAGCAGTGTGGAAAAATAAATTTGAAATGACTTATGTTGGGCCAAGTCAAGTTTTAGTAAAATCATTAAATATTGAAGATAACCAACAATCACATCAAGGTGTTATACTAAGATCACAATATGGTCATGAAATAGAAGATGTCCGTGTTATGGGTGATGATCGATATTTAGTTGGTCGAACTAGAGATACATTACTTTTTGGTTTGTACCTTATTTTAATTTGTGCTTTATTATTAATGATCATAATATATTCTTATTTTTTATAATATTAATAAATTAAAAATATATATTTTAGAGTATCTTTAGTTATAAATAAAAGAAAAAATTTAAAGAAATTCTCAAGTCTCAACCCCAAAGTTATGTATACAGAGAGAATCATTTAACATGAACCACTTAATTAAACAAAAAATAAAAATAGTATTGAGAATTTTTTTTGAATTTTTTTATAAACTAGGTTTTCTCAATTTATTAATCCTAATGTATTTTTTATGTTCATCTCTTATACCTTATAAGATTGTCATCTTTTTTTAATATGACGTCATATATAATTAACTAGTTTATTAAATAGGTCTAATTTAAAAAAATGATTGGTTAATACAACTTTTAGACCAGTATCTTGGAAATTATTGACATGTTTATATCTAGGCAGGAGAAAGAGTACGGCTGAGAAATGACTAAAAATAGCAACCGACATCTTAGCTTCAGTCATCACTACCATTATTATAATATCATGTTATCACTTATTACATTACCATAAAATGTGGTTAAAAATAATTATAATTTTAATAAATCTATTATAAAAAAATTGGTTTAAAAAACATTTAAAAATCAAGAAGTTGATATATCTTCTTTGGCTGAATATTTATTGACATATAATCATTCCCTTAAAACCATAAAACTAATTAAAATCGTAAATAATTACAAAAAACTTAATATAACATCGACTTTGGAAATGTTTAAAAATAAGAATAATTTAGTTAATCTTGGCCCACTATAAAATGTATTATTAAACATGTTATAACTGGCAAAATATATGACAATCTAAAATATCAAACCATTATGTGATAAGGTCACAAGGAGTATATAATGGAGTTTTATTCGGTAGGGGTGTCAGTTTTTATTTAACATTGGTAATGTTATCATGGTTCCAGAAATACATATACGTGCCTTTTTTAAATATTTTTAAGGCTTTTTGAGTTAAATATTTTTTAGTATTAAATGACGATATCCACAAGTGATCAATTCTTATTATAATTTATAATAAGAATTGATCACTTGTGGTTATACATACATTTGTACATGTATGTCATATATAATGAGTATACAAAATCACCAAAACAGGGTTCTCTTCTTTAAAACACAAAATAACCAGTTGACTATGGAACAAAATCTAATTATTGCACAGATTTTAAAGAAATGCTTACAAGAAGAACCTCAATGTAATTGACCAATTACAATAAAAATCTCAGCTTCAAGATTACACCAAGAACTACTAGATTACCCTTTTTAGACTATAATAAGCTAGTTAATTATGTATGTTGCCTTTTGAAAAAAATATGTTGACACCATTATAAGGTATAAGGGATCAATATAAAAATACTTTATGATTGATAAATTGAGAAAAGTATGTACATTTAACATAAAAGAAACCAAAAAAAAGTTCAATAAATTTTGTTTAACTATTATTATTAAATAAATTAAATATATAAAAATATTAAATATATAATGTAAAAAAAATGAATCACCTTGTAACTCTACATTTTTGAGGTCTATTAAACAAATTTAAACCGTGCCTACTTAGAGTTGAAAATTGGTCAATTATATAAATATTATACTATTAATGACTAAATTAAGTAAATATTCACATTTTTTTGATAATTAAATTTTCACCAATAATGGAAAAATGATTTAACAATGAAAATTTAAGTTAAATATTTTTTTTTAGTTAATTTATTCCAAATTTACCTTTATAATAATTAATTTCTTAAGTAAAAAAAACAATAGTTTGAAGATATAAGTATTCAATTTTGTACTTAATTTTATGCGTAAACTTGTTTTTCTGGATAGGTGATATGGAAAGGAATTTACTAAGTGAAATCGTTTGGCCGTACTCAGAACAGAATGAAAAATTTTATTTTGAGAATCCAAGTGTTTGTATGATTTTCAACAGTGGAGAGTTGACACTCGTGGAATATGGCAATGATCAAATATTAGCCACAGTTCGGTAAACAAATACATCCGTTAAAAAAATTATACTATGTAATTATTATAGTATTCTTTTGGATAAATATCCTACATTCTTGATTAGTTTTTAACACCATGCAGTTTATATTGGACCGGAGTCTTATGTTTGAAAGTAAAAATAATTATTGACAAATTTTTATAGTGTCATAGCAATTTCGTTATTTGGAAATAAACAATTAATTAATAATGACGTTTAAATGGAAGTTTCAAATACACTTTACACTTATAATTATATACATTAAATATATTAATTATAATAGGTAGTGAAACATTTCATTTCTCTATGTCTTAATGGATTTTGAAATTTATTCTAAGAAGTCACGAATCTTTTATGAAAAATTTGAAATACAGTTTAATATCTACATAGAAATGATACTTCAATTAATTTATAGTCGTTGCTAATAAATTACCCAATGATAACTTTTTCCTATCCAAATTTAGAGTATAATTTACTTAGAATTTTTATATCTCTGAAGTGACGTTTTATTGACAACTTGAATTTTATAAGAGCGTAGGTTAAAATGTATAAAATATTGTTCTCTGTGGTCGTATTTTTTCCTTGGTTAACTATATCCCTTGTAGTTGTAGATTTTAGCCTGACCAGTCTGTTTCATTTCGGTCAAAAGAAGTATTATCCAAAACCCACCCGATTTGTCAGTTAAACTATAAAAAACACACAAAATCCGTGATCTTTAAAGCTCTGTTTATATTTTTATATATACTTTTCAGGACCGAGTTTGTAAATCCTCATTTGATCAGCGTACGGTTGAACGAACGAAAACAATTCAATTCCAACGAGGACAATAAAAAGCTTGCCTATTTACTGGACCTAAAGACAATTTGTATTGGTAATAGAAAAATACGTTTATTTCCTTCTGCTTACTGTCTCTATTCTAGTCATTCCGTTCACAACATATCAAGCCATTATCTTACTACTGAATTCATTTTTACTACCAAATAAGGAAACAGAAACTTACTATGGTTTTAAGAAATTCAGTGTTGAAGTATTCACTTTTATGTTTGTGGCAGAAATGTTTGTTGATATTAAGTTTTATGTCTAAAAGCTAACACTAAAAGACTGAGGTATAAAAATACATAATCCCAGGGATATTATTGGTAATCAATTTCTCGTATATTATCACGAGTAGCGGTTAATTACATGTCTTATAAGCTTACTTACACCTACCATGACAATAAAGCACTCGAATGACATAAAAATGTTCAATTAACTAATTTTAAAAATTTAATATAAAAAATTAAAGATTTACGATAATGTTTATATAAATTTTACTAAAATTATAACAAAAAAAAAAAGACTAACACAGTCGGGACGTGTCATAGTAGGAGAGAATCAGAAAATTTTAAACATTTATAGGTTAACTAGTGATAATGATTTACATTTATATTTTAAAACGCTTTGATGAAAAAATATTCGTTTCAAAATTTCTCTAGATTTTAAGTTTTTGGAAAATTTATAAATATTGAAAAAGCCAATGGCTTGTGATGCTTTGGTTTTTAATGTAATTTTGACGTATTTTAATTCAACAAAAATATTTTCACATATAAGAATTTTTTTTTTAATAATAAAATATTCTTTAAAATCTTTAATTTTATGTTAATTATAAGAACAATTTCCCTTGGCTTACTAATACCCATAGTTATGATATTTAACAAAAAAACACGCTGATTATGAATTTTTAACTACAAATAATTAACGTGCGTGAACGTTTGTTAATACTAGTTAATAACAAAATGTCCTGCAAGAGGCTCTTTGTTAACTACGATATGCTGTTATAAGTGATTGATTTTGAGGAGTACTAAATTTGTCATTTCTTCCCATTCGTTATTTTAACACGTCTTACTTTACATATTATAAATTGTATTATAAATAGACTTTTAATCATTTAAAGAATATACTTATTTTTGTATTTGCTTTGTTTTTAAATATGATATAATAAAGAATACACGGGAAAAATAGTTTTATCCCTAAACTCTTCATTTTTCCACCGAACAGATATTTCTTAAATTGAATTGTTCAATTCAAAAAGTATACAAGGAGATTGTTTAACACTAATCACTCAATTTCTCTTAAGATAATATTTATTTTTTACCATACTATACATTTTATATATTTAAAACCTTTATGATATTTGGATTTGAGATATTATTAATATACACTCTTCTTGGACTTTCCCTAGATTATTATCGTGGTAGAAATATTTTATAACCCGAAATTGGACTCATTGTATTTATGTTACTTTCATTCGTATAGCTTGTATATAATTAACAAAGTTATATTTAGAATAAATAAAAAGTTTTCTAACAGTAGTTATTATAATCATTGAAACGAGTACGTAAATAATTTACAGTACTTTGTTCGGACTTCCTCTATACGAGGTTATTGATTAGTATTGTAATATATTTAAACGTATGAAATGATTTTATTTATAATTTTTTTTCCACAGATTAACAGATTCCTATGTCCCAAAATTCTTTGCCTTATTTTATAAAGACCCATATTTCAATTAAAAGTATTATTATGAAATAACATAAAAGCAACTTAGGTTCAATTAAAGTGCATTAATAAAAATAGTATTAATTTGTAATTTGTCAACTAAGACAGTATTTAAACTAATTTAATTTTGAAACTGCTTTGTTGTGTTTTTTTTTTAATTATTTAGTTGACCTAGTCGTCGGTGTAGTAGATCTTCAAATTGGCCATGGTTCAAAAATCGACTGGCTTGAATTAAATGAAACCGGACACAAATTGTTATTTAGAGATAAAAATGCCACACTCACGTTATTAGATGCAAGGACAGGCCACAAAGAAATTCTCTTGAATGGTTGTTCTTTTGTACAAGTTAGTAGAATAAATATATGACATATTGAAGTATTAACAAAAAAAAAAATCATTTAAATTAATTAAAAGTACTTAAGAAAAAATAGGAAAACTTAATTCTATGTTACTCTTGAACATATTTTTGAATGTTTTTACTAAAGTTCTTTAAAACTGGAAAATTTTTTTTTATTTATCGAGAATTTTCGATATAAAAAAATTATTTTTTTTTGATTTTGTATTAAATATTTTGCTAATAGTGGGTAATTGGCAGTGACGTTGTAGTAGCTCAAGGACGACATGGAGCTTGTGTATGGTACAACATCGATACGCCTGATAGGGTAACTGTATTATCAGTAACTGGTGAAATAACATCAGTTGAGAGGGATTCCGGAAAAACTACAGTGAGTATTTTATAATGCATATGAACATGCAAAAAATTAAGATAAATACTATATAAACACAATAATAGTTAATTTTTTTGAAATCGAAAATAATTCACATTAAAACATTATTATTTATAGAATTTTTATCTTCATAAAGTTAACTATTATTCACGAATCGTATAATGAATTATAATATTCACGAATCTTGGAGTAAAAACATCTTATCAATTTTTTTATTACAATCCTTAAAAATATTTAAAAAATATAAAATGAGTAAATATTGCTATAGTTTATTTTTTCTAATACTCTATAAATACCAGTAATTATATCATTATTGACATTTTTTAGATTTTTAGTCAAGATGGTGAAAAGCAGTGCACTTATAATCTCGATGAACGTCTAGTAGAATTTGGAACTGCTGTACATGATAGCGATTTTGGTCGCGCAATATTATACTTAGAAAGTTTAGAAGATAGTGACGATCATCAATATGAAGTCGACGGTATGTGGCAGAATTTATCAGACATAGGATTACAGCTCATGAACTTGCCTGTAACCGCCAGGTGTTTGGCAGGCGTCAAAGATTATTGCAAAGCATGGTATATACAAGAAACGTACAAGCTTGCAGAACAGTATTCTAAAGATAACAGTTAAGTGTATTTTTTTTACTCAATTGAACAATTAATAAGTTATTTGATTTGGTCAAGTTGTGTTTTAATAAAATTATTAGAAGAAAATTTGTATATATGTATTAGACAATTTTAAGGGCTAATCTTGATTGAGTAAATCATAATTTAGACAACTTGTGATTTAAGATAGAAAAAGTATACTATTAATAATTAATACGGTAATGCCATTTAAATAATAACGAGTAATTGTTTTTGATATTCGATGAAACAGATCAATATTTGTAGTAAACTAAAATTAGTAAAAGTAGATATTTAAAAAACATCATATTATACATATACAGAGTGATTTTTTTATCATAACCCACTCAATTACTTACAGAATAATAATAATTTAAAAATTTTTTTTTTTGATTACCTTTAGTTACACATTATTCTTGAATTATTAACTATGTGATACTTTTTAAGTTCATCCCTTATGCCTCGTTAGGGTGTCAACTTTGTTTTTTTTAATTGGTACACATATTTTGAATTTAATAAAATGTTTGAGTTTTTAATTTAATAGTAAATGACATTTGAATTTTTAGTATAACTTTATTTGTTTATTAGATATAAACATTTAAAGTTTCAAATTTTTTAGTTAATATACACGTATAATACACAAGGGATTACAAATACAGGTGGCTAATTGTTTTTTTATGACATTGTTGTCACAGTTACAGATTGTTTATTATCAATTATGACTATCAATATACTTTTTGTATGTCAGTTAGTGTATTTATAAACACACAACAATGTGCCTTACTACCATTGATAATAATAATGCTGTGTACCTGCTAATATCGATGTTATAAAAAGCCAATTAGCTACAAATACGTGTAATCCCTTGTGTATTATACATGTATATTAACTCAAAAATTTGAAACTTTAAATTTTTATATCTAATAAACAAATAAAGTTATACTAAAAAATTAAATGCCATTTATTATTAAATCAAAAACTCAAACATTTTATGAAATTCAAAATATGTGTTCCCATTTAAAAAAACAAAGTTGACACCCTTACCAGGCATAAGGTATGAACTTAAAAAATATTACATAGTTAATAATTCAATAATAATGTGTAACTAAAGATAATACATAAAAAATTTCTAAATTATTATTATTCTGTAAGTAATTGAGTGGTTTATGATAAAAAAATCACTCTATATACGTATGTATTTAGATTTTATTTAGAGATATTTTTAAGCTATTTAGACTCTTTGTCTAAATTTTGGGAATTAAAAAAATATATATTTGTAAAAGTATTAGTCATAACTAAAAGAACTAGGGGTGCTCAGTTCTTGGTGGACTAATGAAAAAATATATATATTAATAGTTTAATATATGTAAACAAATTTTTGTAGAGTGAAGAAAAAAATTAATTCAGCACTTCATAAAATTGTTATTCTAGTTGCACCAATAGTAAAACACATGTAATTCCGGGTATGAAAATCAGAAAAGGAAAAATATATAGTGTTTAGAAAAATCATTGAAAATGTTCAAACGGTGTTACATGTAAAAAATTCTAATATGTAGTAATAATTGCTTGTAATTAATAAAAAAAAATTATACCAAATTAAAATATAATCTATATTTATAAAATGCAATATAAATAAATATAGTTAAAAAAAACTGAAAAATACGCTTTTAAAGCATATCGAACTAAAAAGTTAAAAATAATTTTTAAAATAAGTTTAAAACAATAATGAACGAAAAATACTATTATTATTGTGAAAAAAACCGTTGGGCGCTCAATATACGAAAATGATGGCACAAAGCACTCACGCTTTTTTTCACAATAATACTAGTATTTTTCGTTCATTATTGTTTTAAGCTTATTTTTAAAATTATTTTTAACTTCTTAGTTCGATATGCTTTAAAGGCGTATTTTTCAGTTTTTTTAAACTATATTTATTTTTCACTTTTTAGTTTTTTATGACATCGCTATTACAGTCACGGAGTGTTTTTTGTCAATTATCACTAGTAATGGATATAATTTCTGTATTGCCAGTTAGTGTTTTTATAAACTCACAGCAATGTGTCTTATTACCATTGATAATAAAGGCTATATGCTTGCTAATATCGTCATAAAAAACCAGTAAGCTACCTGTATTTGTAATCCCTTATGTATTATACAAGTATATTAACTCAAAAAAATTTGAATCTTTAAATGTTGATATCTAATAACAAACAATAGAATTTGTTTATATATATATATAATATTGATGATACGCCCGCATGTACGGGTACGAAAACCAAAAATTATACAGGAAAATAGTGCGAGGGGTGAGCGGGGTGGGGTGAACGTGTTACGACAGTGTAGTCTCAAGGCCATAAGACGACGCGAGAAAAATATCACGTGGCGCGTGGAGATTTACAAACAACTAACGCACATCATGTGAAACTAATATAAGCGTGTTAAAAAAAGAAACCGTGTTTACAAGAGTGCCTTTAATAAAGTCCTAGTGGACCAGTTGTCACCAACACCGTTGAGAAGTTTATCATATTGTGTGGCAGCTGATCACTGCCGTCTTTTTTCACCTACCCCCTCGCCCGTCCTCCTCGGAAAACGGCCTACGCGGCAATTGCCTACCGTGTGCAGTTCGCCGTTGTATGTCAATAAGTGAATATTTTTCTACGTCACCTTTTCATAGCAACCGACTTGGCTTGTCCGGTCAATTGTTCGGCCATTGTGCGCCATATATTATTATTTGTTTGTTCAGTGATTATCACTGAAGAACTTTACTGCCGTTTGGTTTCGTCCGCCATTGCGTGCCTTGCACTTATACGCTGATTTGTATTACCAGGACGTGTGAAGTTATATAGCCTTTATGGTTCCTACCNGGCCATTGTGCGCCATATATTATTATTTGTTTGTTCAGTGATTATCACTGAAGAACTTTACTGCCGTTTGGTTTCGTCCGCCATTGCGTGCCTTGCACTTATACGCTGATTTGTATTACCAGGACGTGTGAATGTTATATAGCCTTTATGGTTCCTACTTACGTTGTGTGCTCGTCTGTGTTTAACAAGGCTCTTCTTGCCACACACTCCGGAACAACGTCATATATTACCTCAACCTTGTCATTGGTCACGTTATCACTCACATTATCATACAGTTCACTATTTAACAACATCAGCCCATCATCGAAAAACAATGATTCAGTTAAGTCATAATTTTTGATTTTGGTAATTTGTTCATTTAATTTCAACTATTTCGTTTTATGCCGCTTCGTCGACTATTAGAATTTAAAGACCCCCCGCTACTCCTCAAACTTAAGATACTCATTGCAGAACTTTAATATATTTGTTTCATTAGTGTTATGTAATAATTTTTATTGTCTACGCGTTATTTATTTAGACATGCAGTATCCACCCCGGTAACCCCTCTAGCCTTTTTCAACAGCGATTGTAATCAGGCAAGACGGTAATCTAGTGCCATTCAAAACTAGTGTCGGTCTAGGTGCCTCGTACGATATATTCCTTTTCATTAATTATACATTTACTAAACATAATAGTTGTTACTCTGATCACTGAATTGTTTTCGCAGTTGTATAAGAAAAATAAAATAAAACAAATTCAATTATTAGTGAGTTTCTTTATTTTATTTCTATAAATTCATATTTTTTTATTGTCTTATAATTCTACTAAAGTTAATAAAACAGACAAAATTGTAGATGTTTTAATGAAGAATAAATCGAAACTCAACATTTTAAACAAAAGTAATTATTCAAGTGATTGTTTTTTATTACAATCATAATGTATATTTTAATTCATAATTGTCTAACATTTTTAGAGTTTATAAATTGAATTTAATAGTTTTGGGATAAAGTTCCTTCCTTATCCATTAAAATAAACTAAAAACAGGATATTAAAAAATGAATGAGCCGACTTTATTAGTAGTTAAGTTTTCTGGATTTTTCACGAAAATATGTCAAAATANAATGAGCCGACTTTATTAGTAGTTAAGTTTTCTGGATTTTTCACGAAAATATGTCAAAATAACTCAATACATTAAGCTCTTTACTTTTAATAGAGAACCTCAGAGATAGAAATTATAAAACAGCTGAATAATGTAGTTTCTAAAATTTTCACTGGAACAACATTGTTTATCTTTTCACACGTTACTAATTGAATAATACTTGTTTAAGTATATAAGTTTATTTAGTACTATATATTGTTTATTGAACAGAAAACAGTTATAAAAAGAAACGTAAGCATGTCCCTCCGACATCTAATTTTTTACAATGTAAAATATTTTGAATCTTCAATTATCTCTATTATTATATCTATACAATTTTCTAAGATATTCACAAGACAATAAAAAAAACAAATAATTTTCAGAAATATATTTAATTTTAACTTAACATTAATGATTGCAAAAAATTTTAACACAATTAAATTAAATTATAGAAAATTGCAAAATACAAATATTAATTTAAATAGTGTAACTTTTTACGGAAAAATCTAAATAATATAATTTATCTCGAACATTTTTCTAAAAATCGGGGTCCCATTAAAAAAATTTTAATTTCAAATGTTTTAATCCTGAAGAGATTAAAAAAATTATTTTTTATCTACATATTATTGTTAGTTTTTTTTAATCAAACAATTTTTTCTTTTTTTAAATTTGAATTTTCTATAGTTTTTAAATAAATAAGTGTCTCACTCTTAATGAATCCCTCTGTAGTTTTAGTTAGACTCTACTTTGCTCACACCTTTTCTAAGTCCATCAAATGCGAATATCCCAAAAAGTAATAATAGAAAACTAGTTATCAATTTGTCAAACATTTTTTTAAACCTTTCTTCGTTTAAAAATAAAATAATAATAATAGGTTCTCATTTAACTTTCGAAAATTAAATTTTGATCTATAAATCTTTACGAAAAAACATGTGAAAAAGTATATTTAATAAATCACACAGAATATATTTGATCTAAAAGCTATGAATATTATAAAACGAGTCTCTGTATTTTTTTTTTTTTACGATGATTTTGCAATGAATGTATAAATATTTAAATTTAATTCATTTTTTAGAATGCGATGGAATGGAATGCCCTGAAGTCTGGGCACGCATAGCTGTGCTTAATGGACAATTTCAAGCTGCAGAAATATTATATTTAGAACAAAATAATGTGGATAAAGCTATTGACATGTATTTATCATTTAACAAATGGGATAATGGTATGAAACACATTAATACTAAATTCATAATAACTTTTTGTAACTTTTTTTTTCAAATTGACTAGCTATAAATTTGGCAGAACTAAAAAATCGATCCGATGTAGATGAATTAAAATCTAAGTATCAACTTTGGCTATTAGAAAACCATCAAGAAGAAAGAGCAGCTGAAATAAAAGAAATTGAAGGTGATATAGCAACTGCACTTCAACTGTACATCAAAGCCGGTCTTTTTAATCGTGCAGCAAAGTAAATAAAAATTTAATTAAAGGAATAAATTCTCATTAATCGTTAGGATATCAAGCCAATATAAATATTTTAAACAAATGTTCGCAAAAATGTGTTGTTAATCTTGTATTATTTATATAAGTTCACATATTGAGAATATATTGGCTTCGATGTAAAGCTGAGATGGTATTAATTTTACTATGATGTGTTTTTTTTTTGAGTCTGTTACCACTTTTTCTCAGCTCTCATCGAACCGATTTCTTTCAACGAAACGTCAAAAGATCACAAATCAAATCTAGCTGAAGACATAACCGTCAAAAATTGAAAAAAATTCCCTCATTCCCTGTAAATGGGAGAAATCTCCAAAAAAATTACAAATTTAAAAAAAATGGCTAATCTTCGACATTTTTTCATTTTTTAGCTTCGATGCGAAGCGGAGAAGGTATTAATTTTACTATAATGTGTTTTTTTTTTTTTTTTTTTTTTTTTTTTTTTTTTTTTATGTCTGTTGCCACTTTTTCTCAGCTCTCACTGGACCGATTTCTTTCAAAAATACGTCAAAAGATCACAAATCGTATCTAGTTGAAGACATTACCCTTAAAAATTGAAAAAAATTCCCTCGTTCCCCGCAAATGGGGGAAATATCCAAAAAAATTACAAATTTAAAAATCGCTAATTTTCGAAATTTTTTCACTTTTTTTTCTTAAAACTTCCATAACTTTTTGAAAAATCAACAAATCAACATAATTTTTTTTTATACTAAAACCTTAGATATTTACCTTTCATTTGATATCATTTTTTTGAAAATCTATCACTTAACCTGCTCATTGGGGGGGATTTAAAATGGCAACTTTTTTACAAAAATTAATTTTTTCAACTTAATTTTTGAAAATGTTCCGGAAATACTGCGTCCTTTAAACTTATATTAAATTAAAGCGTATTTTATGTACTACAAAATGAAAAAAAAAAATTTGTCCCGACACTTTTTTTTCTACATTTAAACGGCTGCCGTAGTTAAAAAAACACTATTTTTGTGTTAAAATTTTCGATTTTCGATTTTAAATTTTCAACTTAAAAATGCTATAACTTTTTGAAAAATGTATATATCAGCACAAATTTTTTTTTTCTAAATACATTATAAGTACATCTTTCATTTGACATACTTTTTATTAAAATTGGACAATTTCCCCTTATATAGGGGGCGTTCAAAACTTAAAATATTGTAAAAAACATAGATCTTTTTCAACTGAACTTTTGAAAATGTTCCGGAAATACTGCGTCCTTTAAACATATATCAAATCAAAGGTTATGTTATATACTATCAAATGAAAAAAAAAAATTTGTCCCGACATCTTATCTTCTATGTGCAAATGGCTGTCGAAAATTTAAAAAAAAATGTAATGTTTGCGATAAAAATTACATTTTATCGGGATGTTTTTTGTACTTAAAACTGCCATAACTTTTTCAAAAATGAACAAATAAAAATAATATTTTTTTGTATTGAAACCTTAGATATTTCCCTTTCATTTGATATAATTTTTTTTGAAAATCTAACACTTATTCTGCTCACTGGGAGGATTTAAAATAGTAACTTTTTTACAAAAAATAACTTTTTCAACTTAATTTTTGAAAATGTTCCGGAAATACTGCGTCCTTTAAACATATATAAAATTAAAGCTTATTTTATGTACTACAAAATGAAAAAAAAAAATTTGTCCCGACGATCTATCTTCTATACGCAAATGGCTACCATATTGAAAAATATACTATTTTTGTATGATAATTATGGGTTTTGTATTTTATTTTAATAGAAGTTGATGTTGCTTTTGCAATTATCCATCAATTTTTTAAAATTAAACACTATCTACAGATTTGCATCGAAGCGTTTCTTATGATAGTGATTTTAATCACTGTCAGATTAAATCTATACTGGACCCTACTATGCAATGTCTCCACTATGCCGCAACCTCACTGTGCTACCGTTTTTTTACTTAAAACTGCCATAACATTTTTAAAAATAATCAAATCAATATCTATTTTTTATTTATAAATATGTGAGATATATACCCATTATTTTGTATATTTTTTTTTATAAATTTGACCGTTTACTTGCTTATGGGGGGGGATTCAAAATGACAACTTTTTCAACTGAACTTTTGAATGTTTTCCGGAAATACTGACATTTTTATATATACCTTAAATTAAATCTAATCTAATATACTTTATTACGGGAAAATTATAATTCGGATTTTATTTTGTCTTCACGATGAAAATTCTCAATTTTATATTTTACATTTTTAACTTTACATTTCTATAAATTTTTGAAAAATGTATGGTCAATACAATACAATTTTTTCATGAGAAATACTATTTTTATACCTCTTTCATTCGACATACTTTTTTTTTTTAAATCGGAACATTTCCTTTTATACAGGGGGTTTAAAAACTTAAAAATACATTTAGAAAGTAGAACTCTTTCAACTTAATTTTTGGAAGTGTTCCGGAAATACTGACACTTTTATATATACCTTAAATTAAAGCTCATGTAATATACTTTAATATGAAAAAAAAAATAATGACTTTATTTTGTTTTCACGGTTAAAACGGACATCAAAGTTGATAATTAAAGATACGATTTTTGTAAAAAATTACAATATTAAATTACTAAATATCAATTTCATACTATACTTTATTGCTATAAAAAATATTTATTCATATATTACACTTATAAATCATAAAACTTGTAATCAGGGTATAAATAAGGAAATAAGAGATCATGTTGCTTTTAGAATAATCCACCTATTTTTTTAAAATAAACACTATCTACAGATTTTCATTGAATCGTTTTTTATGATAATGATTTTAATCACTGTCAGATTTCATCTATACTGGACTCAACTATGCTACGTTCCCACTGTGCTGGGTTTTATTCGTTATAAATTTATGTTTATATAAATAATACTATAATTTTAATGTATTTTTAAAAAAATGAACACTTAACTTTTTGAAGGTAAAATTTTTTAAACGTGCAATGCATAGAAAGAACTAAAAAATTTTTAAATATTTTTAAGGGAATCGAATTTGTTTATATTAGTGCATTGCATATTTGTATTATTAAAATACTTTTTAAAATAACAGCAAATAAAAACTTATACTTGGCAATTGACAATTAAAAAAGACTAATGGAATTTTTGTTTAGTATGCAGTATAGTCTAATAATATAATTCGCAGGAATTACATTTTTGTTTTCCATAGAAGCTAGAAAAAAAATGAGCACACGTAACTTCGCTACGTGACTCACATTTTATAATAAGTTATTATTTATAATATAAAGTAATATAAATTGCAATCATTTTATTAGAAAAGTCATCTTTAGCAACATACGTCATGATGTCGGTAAAATATGTTAGAAACATTCCATATCATAATAAATTACATTTACAGCTTAAGATGTACTATTTTTGGACTTCATAAAACGTTTAAATACAGTATTAAATAAATCTCTATTCTGAAAAAAGTAATTGAACTTTGTGTTTGTAATTTAGGATAACTACACCAGTAAATTAATTGTTGAGATTATTTTATCTTTTCAATTTTTTTATAAATTTATATTTTGATGTCGCACCTATGAATTAACACTAATTTGTTCTTTGAACAATGCTCCATAATAAAAATAAAAAATAAAAAATTATTAGTATATTAAACATAATTTTAGATTCATTATCATGAATTTTCAACCTAATGTAATTATTATATGTTTTTTTTTATATTTGTTAAATAATTTGTTAAATTTATCTGGGAGGCAATTGGAATTTTTGATACTCTTCACTAACGTAGTAAAGAAAGTGTCAAAAGGGCTATAAATTTCCCTTATTGAACAATTATTATTTATATTAGTATAAGATACATTCTAATAAGAGCATTTGATAAGCCAAAAACAATAAAAATTTCAGTTACTCTATTGCGCCCCTCTGATCAACTGATTCCGGTCGGGGTGTCAGTATGTGTTTATCGTTGATAATGGTAACATTGTTTCCAAAATACTACTATCCGTGACTTTTTAGTAATATTGTTGTGGTTTTTTGTTTTAAATTAATAATATTTTTAATATAGTTTTAAATTTAATTGATAGTTTTATATTTTGTGATGCCTGAAACAAAACTTTAACTTTTAATAAGGCACAAAGAACTATTAATAATTATGAAATATTAACTTTATTGCTTAGAAAAATAATAAATCAAACATTGTAACATAAATATGTATAAATTTATTTCATGCATTTAATTTAAAATAAAACAAATTATTTAAGTCATAGGATGTATGAGGAGGTCGCGAAAGTATATTTTTACAACGCTCAGGCTTTTTCATGGTCGCAAGGGATCTTTCTAGCCACCGCGACTGATATTGAAGAGAAAATTATTATATCACGTTAAACTAAATTTTAATATTTTAATTAATATAATTACTATTAACTAAAACTTATCGGTGTTCATTCACTAATGATATTTATTTACATAAAAAGACATATTATGAAGTTACTTAAATGTAACACATTTATAAAAATATTACGAAAATATATTTATTATTGATGTATTTTAAATATTACATAATTATTCACATATTTGCAACGATAAATCAAGACGGAATTTCAATATTCATAAAATGTAGATTGCGTTAAAATTTTTATATATAATTTTAACTTGTAAACTTGTTGTTTTAAATTTATCATGCAATCATTGGACAGGTAAATAATTAGGATTATTTATACAGGTTATTACAAGATGACTTGGAACTTTTGGCACACGATTCTTTAATAGAACAGGTACTAACAGGATTACTGCGTATAAATAACTATCACGCCGCCGGAGAACTTTGCCAATCACAAGGAAAACATAGTGAGGCTATGAAAATTTACTGCGAAGGAAATATATTTATAAAAGCCGTCGAACTTGCTAGATTTGTTTCCCCATCTGGTTAGTTCAATTTTAAATGTTTTTATACATTTTATTTTTAATCATTTAAAATCATTTTAATCATTAATAATATCATAATTAGGGTAAGTTGGGGTAGGATGGTTAAGTTACAACGATTATTCCTGAATTCTGTGAATAGATTTAATATTAGAAATTATACTTTTACAACACTACAAATTTTTTCAATTTTCTCTTTCTATCACCAAGATATAAATATGTCAATAACTTCTGAAATACTGGTCCTAAAGTTTTTATGGATTAGTCATTTTTAAATGAGATCATTATGTAAATAATAATCTAGTTAATTATGTGTGTTGTCATATTTTTAATTAAAGTTGACAACCTTATAAGATATAAGGGTTCAACACAATTTTTTAGCTTCAATGCGAAGCTGAAAAGGTATTGGTTTTACTATTTTTTTTTTGTGTGTGTCTGTTACCACTTTTTCTCAGCTCTCACCGAACGGATTTCTTTCAACGATACGTTAAAAGATCACAAATCGTATTTAGTCGAAGACATTATCCTCAAAAATTGAAAAAATTTCCCTCATTCCCCGTAAATGGGGGAAACCTCAAAAAATATTATAAATTTAGAAATTGCTAATTATCAAAATTTTTTTCTTTTTTTTTTTTTAAACTACCATTACTTTTTCAAAAATGCACAAATCAATATTATTTTTTTTTTATAGATGCTTAATGTCTTTATCTTTCATTTGGTATATTTTTTTCATAAATTTAACCCTTTACCAGCCCACAGGGGGGGATTTAAAATGACAACTTTTTCAACTTAACTCTTGAAAATGTCCTGGAAGGTCTGACACTTTAATATATATTTTAAATTAAAGCTTATGTAATATACTTTATTATGGAGCAAAAAAATTTTCGGACTTAATTTTGTCTTCACGGTGAAAATGGCTACCGAATGCTATTTTTGTATGAAAATTCTCGATTTTATTTTTTACATTTTTAATTTTATAATGCTATAACTTATTGAAAATTGTATGAATCAACACAATTTTTTTATGAGAAATAATATTTTTTAATAATCCCTTTTTCATTCGACATACTTTATCTTAATTAAGATATTAATAATGAACTAGCAGTTTATGAAGCTTTTGGAATAATACACAAATTTTTAAAAATTAAACACAGTCTAAAGATTTGCATCGAAGCGTTTTTTTTTTATAGTGATTTTAATCACTGTCAGATATCATTATACTTGATCGAACTATGCTATGTCACCACTGTGCCGCGACTCCGCTGTGCTGGGTTTTTTATGATTGATACATCAAAAAAAATATTAAACAAGAAGAAACTAATAAAATAAATATAAATATTATTTTTATTTTCAATTAATTAAGTAGTTTATAATAAATGAATCGCCCTATCTGTGTTTAATTTTGAGATAAATTGAATTCGTCATCTTACCGCGTTTTTCCTTACATTAGATAATTTAAAAAATTACGTATCGTTCTAAGTATACATAATTTATATATATATATATATTATGTTATAAAATTATATATTTTTTTATTCATCAATAATTTTAGAGGTGGTGAACTTGGAAGAGAAATGGGGCGACTATTTAGTGTCACAAAAACAACAGGACGCAGCCATATCTCATTATATTGAAGCTGGAAATACAATTAAAGCATTGGAAGCGGCTATTGGAGCAAAACAATGGAAAAAAGCAATACAAATAATGCAGGTATAAACAAATGATTCTTTTAACGTTAGTCACTCTATTTCTCTTGAAGTAATAATTATGTAAAGAAAGTTATTTTCAGTATTTTTTAGTTTCATATATTTCTCAAATTAACAGTTAACAATTTCATTCTTAATTTATCCTTTATCACCAATTTATCAATCATAAAGTATTTTTAATGTTCAGCCCTTATACTTTATAAATATGTCATCCTTATTTTGTTGAAATGACAACATAAATATTTAAATAAATAACTGGTCGATAAAAACTATTAAATCAATATTTCGGAAGATAATAACAATTTAAATATTAACTAAAGATGAATTGCGGGTGTGACAATTATAATTAATATTTTTTGCTGCCCTGATGCTTACTACCTAAATGAAAAAATTCTGATAACTTCCGAAGTACTTGTTCAAAAATAGTTATCAATCAGATATTTTCTTCATTAGAGATTAATTTAATTTTAATTTTATAAGCTAGTTAAATATTTATTTTATCATTTAAAAAAAATAATGTTGATACTCCTATAAGGGATGAACATTAAAAATACTTATTTAATACATTAAAAAAAATACGTACATAAAAGGCATAAAAAATTTTTTTCAATACTTTTTTATATTTTAATTAATTAAGTGGTACATGATATTGAATCACCTGTATAACAAAAGATAATATTAACTTCTGAAAAGAAAAGTTATGACATGTTTTATACTTTTAAATATATTACATGTGACATAGTTAATCAATCATTTTGTATATGAAGCTACAAATATCAAATATAATTTTCTAAACATAATTATTATTTCAAGAGAGATTGAGTGACTAGCTTTAAAATAATCATCATATGTATAGAAAATTAGAACTAACCTTCAAACTTCGTCATGATCACGTGGATGATTAAAATATTTAAAAAATTGTGATTCTTTTGTTTGAAAGACAATTGCTCTATTTTCAAATGTAGATCTATAAAAGTAAATCTTAAAATAAATACATTTTTTTAAGACAGAAAAGTAGTTAATAGTTAATAAACTTCTATTTAACTCGTATATGCTATAGTTTACTTTGGCAATTTAGATAATTACTTTATTTTTAATAAAATTTAAAAGAAAACTAAGTTAACTATACATTAATTCATTTAAACTTCATAAAATCTTGGTCAATTTAAGAAATGATTGTTTTACGTACAAAACTATTTTAATAAAAAAAAATTGTTTTCCTTTTTCGATAATATTTTCCAAATTAACTCGGTTAGTTTTTTACTAATTGATTTTGAATTTGATCATAAAATAAGGGTACAACCTAAATAACTTTTTCTATAAGAGTTATAACTAAAGTGCGAAATTCTATGTATTTATAAACTTTGTTTAAGCCACTTTGAAGGGTCCCAAGTTAACGCAACTGTGTCATAGGATTATATGGTAGGGTAGAAATAGTTTTCGTTTTAGGGGGATTAACCACCCTAATCCCCCCCAAAACTATACAATTGGTAAAAACACATTAGTAAATTTTCAAGTCAATTAATAAAAATGTGTACTGGCTGATGTTGTGTTCAAAATAACTTAACAAAATTTATAATTACATATAATGCAGTGTTTTATTTATAGCTTGTTGACATTTTTAATTAATACCTACTAATGTGTAATAATTTTTGAGTTCTACTAAACAATACATTTTTATCTAGTTAGACCTTATATACGGTTATTTCCCGCACCTGCCTTATTTTATCAAACGCATTAATTGAAACTAAGATGGTTAAATTCTCTTATAATTGTTTAGTTTTTATACTAGGTAATTGAAGATAAATCATTGATGACCAAATATGGAAAACAGTTAGCCGATCATTTTAAAAACGTTAATGATATCAAAACTGCTGAAAAATTATTCATGGAGTGTAACATGTATAATGAAGTTGTACAACTTCATCTAGAAACAGGTTAGAGCATAACAAATTTTAATTTTCACATAGGAAAACTATCTCGTTTTATTGAACTTTATAAAATGTATGTTTGCTCAGGAAACTGGGAAAGAGCTCTTAGGTTAGTTAAAAACAATCCAGAGTTGACTAATATGATTAGTGAGTTCGAAACACACGGTAAAACTTTAGAAAATGTGGGTCGCTTTAAAGAAGCTGAAAAACTTTACGTGGCATTAGATAAAGTAGATTTAGCAATTAATATGTATAAACAATTTCAACGATATGATGAGGTTTGTAGTTAATTTATATAATAAGAGTTCATGTCTTTTTAAAAACTAAAATGTATAGATGATGTCATTAGTCAGCAAATATCACAGTGATCTTGTAGGTACGACACATATTCATCTAGCACAAGATTGTGAAGTTCAAGGTAATTATAGAGCTGCTGAAAATCATTACATCCAAGCCGGGGAATGGAAACTTGCTGTAAAAATGTACCGATCATTAGATATGTGGGAGGAAGCTTACAAGGTAAAAAAAATAGCTAATACGAACTGGAGCATAGTTTAAAGATTTTTTACTGGATAGCACATATAAGGGCATATTAATACAGTGAGTTTAGATATAAAATTTCCAGAAACCATTTACTCAATTAAAATACAATGTGGACAGGATACGAAAAATGTATTATATGGAAAATCTCTTTCTTAATATAATTTCTTTAACCTACAACTTGTCACTATCAGTGAGAATTAGATTAATTCAATGATGAAGGAAAACTGTTACTTCAGGTTTGTCCTTAAGGTAATTTTTTACCTTTTTGCAAACAATTCTATTTAGAAAAAATAAATAAATTGAGAAGCTAATCTTTATATCATAACTTAGTGGTTATAGTCACGAGGTCACAATGATTTTTATTGGAGAGAACTAATGCCAACCATTTTATGTATAAAAATATGGTCTGGTATTTACTATAGTTTATATAAAAATATTTAATCAATAAATAAATTATAGGAATTTTCAATCAATAATTTTTGGATGAATACAATTAAACACTCACGTGATTCGGTGCAATGTGCGTATTTAAAATCACAAGGCCGTGATCGGCTTTTGTGCCTTCTATGCTTTGCTGTACGACATCCCTAAGATGGCTTTTTATCATTGCCTGCGGACTTTAATACATTTATCCACGGCTAAATGACTCACCAACGTTGGTGATTTTACTATTACAACTCAGTTTTAAGCCTTTCTTACGAAATGCTCATTTCGAATAAACAAAAATATAACCTAAACTGTTTCGATTTCATTACTAAAATTTGCCTAATCACATGAATTTTAATTATTTAAATCAATGTTTTCTCTATATTACTCAAACAATATGTTCCAAATATTTCATCGCCCAAACCTAATGTGGATTAAGAAATTATTTTTTTAAATTTAATTTAAAGTGTAGTAATACAAAAATAATCTAGTTAAATTTATAAATAATTAAATTTTTAATTAAAAAAAAATTAATTAATTATTAATTTTAAATTTATAATATTATAAAAAATGTTTGATTGAATCATTTAGTAATTGGTTTGAACACATTTCATTTGTGTAAAATTATGTGATAAAATTAATATCTAAATAATTAAATAAACTATAAGGAATTGTATTGATTTTTAGGAGAAATTATTCAAATTTTACGTTGACCAAAGGATTAGTCCTAATTTAACTTTGTTTGATGTAACATAACAATACCATAAGATTACTTCACATTACTAATTTGTGCAAATGAAAATACATTTTCTGAAATATATATTCCTTGTATCACTACAATTTATCTCAAAAGTTCATTTATTACATGTATGCGTTTTATCTTGAATTTGTGCTCCGAAATAAAGTAGTATGCGTGCGGTTTTGCAAACTCTTGATGCTTTACTAATTTATTCAGCATAATACTTCAATTTAATTAATATTGTTATGTTATTTTAAGTAAAATATATTGCTGCAATAGAAATAAATAATATTAACAAACAGAGAGTAACTATATTGTCTTAAATTGTAAGATCTTCAAAATTTACACCATAATTGATTATCCTTAAGACAACTACTAGCTGTTTTCCTAGTGTACTTTGAACTATATCATTATATTAAACGTAGTAATCCTATAATTTAGATAGCAAAAAATAACGGTGGAGAACGTGCTGCAGAACAAGTCGCTTTTTTGTGGGCTAAATCATTGGGCGGCGACTCCGCTGTGAAATTGCTCAACCGCTTGGGTTTGTTAAACGAATGCATAGACCATGCAAATGATAGCTATCAGGTATAAAACATTCAAACAATATTATTACACTTTGCAATATTTTTTTCTTTTAATTGTATTGATATGACAACTTAAATAGAGTATTTCAATAACTAATAATTTTTCATACGTGTATTTTTTTTTCTCGTTTCATTACCTTTGTAATGTATATCTCTATTTAGTGTGTTGTTGTATTAAAGAGTACCAGAATGTAACTTGTAAAATTAAAAAACTATCTTTTGAAATCAGTTTTAATATTTGTTAAGTTTGAATTCGCCTTTGAATTGGCTAAGTCAGGAAATGCCGAACGCTTACCTGACGTTCATTATAAATATGCTCTCGTACTTGAAGATGACGGAAAATTTCAAGAAGCGGAATTTCACTTTGTAGCTGGTTTAAAACCTAAAGAAGCTGTTTTGATGTAAGTAGATCTGCAAAATATATGATTTATAGATAACATAAAAATTTTATATTATATTAATATACATTTTTTGTGTTATTCATATAATAAACATTCAAAATATACTCCGCTTATAATAAAAAAATTCGAAAAATATTTATCTGTACTTAACGTTACATAATTGTAATCATCACTTATATAAAACTATTAATGTTTCAATATTTCGTTATAAACGCCGATGGTTACCTTAAACTATAACTTTGCAAACATTGAACGCTAATTGGACCAATCAAAAAGTAATCTACAGAAAAAACGATTTCCATTTTAGGTATACGCATAATCAAGACTGGGATAATGCAGAAAGAGTGGCTGCGGAACATGACAAGAGTTCTATTCCTGATGTATTGTTATCACGTGCTAAAATTGAATTTGAAGCAGCTAATTACTCAAAATTCGAAGCACTTGTGTTACGTTGTCAAAAACCAGAGCTAATAGTAAAACAATATAAGGTAAAATTTATTAGTTGGATTACTCAATATGTAACAAATAATAACAAATTTAGTAAAGAAAATTTTTGTTGAAATGTTGGATACTGTGACAGATCAATTTCTTGTTAACTTCAAAACAGTTTTTTGTTATTTATAACTACCATTTATATATTTTAATCGAGAATTTTAGTTTTATAAATTCAATTTTAATTTTACACCAACTAAGTATCTTAAAACGTACCATAAAAAACCTAACCGAGTTAAATTTATTATTGTTCTTCAACTACAGTAGGTACTGCAATATTAAATCTGAAAAATTGTTTCCTAGTTATTTGCCTAAGTGTTCCCTGTACTAAATATCCTTGTTTATTATTATATCTATATAGTTAGACAGTGTAGTTATGCAACAATTACTTTTCATTATAAAAAATCAATACTTTTATATTTTTTTCTAATGTAAGTTGTAGTAATTTAAAATGAATTTATTCTTCCCCACAAAAGAACGTAGTAAATAAGTAAAACTCTAAAATACAATGAATGCATTAATTATTTTTAAGTTTCATTGTGTTTACGAAAACTATTTTCCCTCGTGGAAAACGTTAAAAAACTACAATAGCAATATTATAGGAAAAAGGAATGTGGGTAGAGGCGCTTAAGGCGTGCCGTGAATATATACCAACAAAATTGAATGACCTTCAAGCAGAATACGATAAAGAGTGTGGTGCTCGGGTTACTAGAGATATTAACAGTCTATTCGTTCAATCAAGTCAATGGGAACAAAATGGAGAATTTAAGACTGCTGTAGACTGCTTGCTCAAAGTGAGTTTAAATTATTAAGTATTTAATAAGACGAAAATTAAAAACAACAAAAATTAATAAGTGACAATCTACTAACTCACAGACGGGCTTGAAGAAAACTCAGTGGTCGTTAAACTATAATTTTAAATTATCCTAATATTTTAATTATTATAAATAAACTATGGTAAGTTAAAATATTATTAAAGGCTAAAGCCTTCCTAAGAATCTAATTTTAGGTACTCCTTAGTTTAGACTTATAGCATTTAAAATATCAGAGTTGCTTATCACATTCGTAATATAATTTCAACACATTTTTAACACAAATAGTTAGAAAAATTAAATATTATCAAAAACATTTAAAACTGCGTCGTTTTGCCCAATGTATTAGTTTTTTTTTTAATTAAAATTATCAAAAGTATTTAAAGGTATTTATATTTAAAAAAATGTTCATGTTGAATTAATTTTCAACGTTTGCAATAAGTAATGAAATCTATCATTGATTGTATTTATTAAGTTCCGATTTTAAATCAAGTTCATTTAAACTTATTTTCTTCTAAAACTCTCATATAATGTTTCCTGAATCAGGTCACTTCAAAAAACTGCAAAGACGAAAGAATTATTTTGAAAACTCTGAATGAAGCAATGCGAATGACATTAAAATATTTAGAAGGCGATGAGTGTACTGATACAGTTAAAATACTAGGTAAAAAAAAAAGTAATACTATGAATTTATATTTTATATTTTTACACTAAGTTATAATATCTACACAATTTCAATTTAATTGAATTGATATAATTCAATAGTTCATTTCAACCCAACTTTATCAATTGATTCACCTTAATTTATTTAATTGCTATAGAAAAATAGTATATTCATTCAAATAAATTTATTTATTTGCTGTTAATGGTTTAAATATTCACAATTTTGCACTACCTTATATTTTTTATTTTATTCAAATATTATGTGCTCGGACTAAGATTAATACATATAAGCTTAGAAGCTTGGATGAAGAATTAAAAATTTCGCGTCAAATTCAGAGTAGAATTCAAATATTACTTGAAATTTAAATAGTTATTAAATTTTTAAACATTATTTCGAATAACTATTATGTGCTACTAAATATCACGTTATAATCAGGTCTTAATTTAAAAAAAATAATAATAACAATTTTTATTATTATTTCTTTATTAACTACAATAGTGTAATTATACAGTATAAGTGTAACTAATTCACGAGTAATATATTTACTTAATTATACACTTTAAATCATAAATATTTTAATAGGACCTCGGTTAATGGAGTATGGAGAACATTTGTCGGCTGCCAAAGTTTTTATATGCGCTGAAATGATGAAGGAAGCAATAGATGCTTTTATTGCAGGAGACTATTGGTCAAAAGCCAGAAAACTAGCGTCGGAACTTGATCCTTCGTAAGTTTTTGTTTTCCATTTTGAACACTTTTTTATATTATAGAAAAATAGATTAGTATATTTTTTCTATAGCTATTTTAAGTCTAATTAATTGTTGTGTTTTTTCTAGTTTCGAGAGATATATTTCGGAATGTTATAAAAATCATTTAAAAAAAGAAGGTAAGCCTGAACAGTTGTTAGCTGATATGAATATAGAGGAAGCCTTGGATATGTTGTCAGCACAAGGAAAATGGTCAAAGTGTTTAGATATTGCTCGGCCACATGGACAAGTTGTACTACACAAATACGTAGCACTTTACGCCACCGATCTTTTAAGAGTAAGTATTCAATATAACTAGCGGCTTGAAATATTAAGGACATCGTCATATTTCATATTAAGACACACGTTAATATTTACATTAAAATGCTAATTTATACATTAAATTAATTGAATCCAAAAACCAATAATACACAATTGATTATCAACTAGTCAACATTTTATCTAGATTACTATTCGTTAAGTAAATGAGGTTAATTTTTTGGTTTTTATTGGAGATCATTAAAAATAAATATTCAAAGTCTAGCAAAAAAAATAGGCAATTTCTTAGATAATAGATGCTATTATTTTTAAATTATGAAATTCGACCTATATATAATAATTATTTTCTAAATATACTTCCTTAAAAAATGAATTTTTTTCATGTATTAAAAAATATTATCCGATTTTACATCATTAAGTATTATTATTTAATTATTTTAATTATTTTAAATATCGTATTCCCATTAATCAGATAGAATAATTGCATTTAGTTGTACAATAGTTTTTTGTACTATCTGAAATAATAGTACTTTACTTGTTTTAAAATTAAATTTTGATTCAAAACAATTTTGTATTAAAATAAAAATAATAATAATATCTTTCATAGAGTTGATTTACTAATACTTAGGCTGTAATTAATTAATTAACTGTAATTTTCTTTTCTTTTAAAGAAATCACGACGACTTTAGCCATTAGTTTTTGTTTAATCGTAATTTCTGATTATGCAAAAAAAAGAACATTAAGATTTTTAGAATGAAATTCCTATATTTATTTTCAGGATTCTAAAGTGTTTGACGCATTAAATTTATACACGCAATATGAAGCTCCTCCATTTCCTCAAAACTTTAATATATATAGGCGTATAGCAGTTGATATGTTTTCTAAAAGAGATTTAGATAAAACTGAAAGTTATGACATGTGGGCAAAGTTAAGAAATATGTTTTACAATTTGGTGAGTTAATTATAAATTCAAATAGAACTTTAGAATTTTTGAACATCTATATCAATTATGTTATAGAATGAGAACGAGAATTGTATCGTAATATCCATAATATTTAAATCGGTTTAGAGAAAATAGAAGTTAATGTCCCCCTTGATGAAAATTATTACTTACTAAAGAAAAATATTGTTACGACTAGACGTAGTGGTAATAAATATCTTTCATATCATCTTATAAGAAAACTTAACTGGGATCCATTAGAAATTCAATAATTTTTTTAAAAAACTCAATCATACTTAAAATTGATAAATTGTTAAAGAATTGAGAAAAAATTGTCTTCAATTTTCTTGTTATATTTATAATATATTAATAATTTGTGCAAAAAAATTAACTAATTAAATTTTATCTAATAAAACTGTATTATGCTAGAAGATTAAAAATATGCAAATCATTTATTTGCTTTATGAAAGCCATGTCGAATTGAACTTTCCGCTTCGCTAACTTTTACCATTATATGTCAAAAGTTTCTCGCTGAAGTATAATGCATGACTTTTAAACCTAACTAACTACATTTTTAAGACAAACCAAACGTTATTACTACATAAGTTTAAGAATGAAGAGTACTATTAATAGTTTTAAGAAGTTTAGAAATTCGAAACTAAAAAATTGATACTCATATTTACATTATGTACAACGTAGGAATACTATTTTATTTATTTTTAATTGTAATTTTTAAAACTTTCTCAGACAATTTTATGTTGCCTACCAATTAAAAATGAATATAAGAGATTTATACCAAAAGTTTTGAAATACTTTTGTTTAATTAACACTACAAAAGAGGGCAAAAGACATAATCGAATAAATTTATCATCTGGCACTAAAAAATGAATGTTTTAACGACGGACACAGGAAATGTATTTAAAATCAGTTGATTCAAAATACTTAGTTCCAGTTCATTTTATGATTTTAATGAGATATCTTTACCTACATAGGTTGCGCACATATATTACAAATCTTAAAATGTTTCAACGGTAAATTTAATTATTGTGAAGCCAAATTCATATTGTATTCTCAACATCGTCTAATTTTTTGGAGGTTATGTTGATAGAAAAAAAAAGTTGAATTTTTTTTTTCTTTTGTTCAATATAATATTTAAAGGACGACTCTGAAAAAAAATGGGAGCGCCGAAATTCGTGTAGTGACCCCAAACCAAAATCTTAAATACAGACTTGCTTATGAAGTAAATTATTCATTTTTCATTCAATTAATAATGTGAAAATTAAATGATTGTATATTTTTCTATTTAAAAAATTTATTCGTACTATTACAAAAAAATATTTTTTTGAATTTGCACTCTCGGCTAGATGGTACTACTTTCATTTCTAAATAAAAAAATTGAATATCAAATGCAGACTACTGAATTGCTGCACATTAATATTTCACAATACAATGAAAGTGATGAACAAAATTTTATAATGTTATTCGTTAGTATTTCATAGAAACATGTAAAAAAAACACGCCTTTCTAAACAAACCGCAAGCATTCTCTAGGGATTTTTTTAAACCCAAAGTTCATAAATAATTCAAGTATTTTGTGGTAAAATGTGTATCTTAAATTAATTTTTATTGCGATAGAGGATTCATCTTAATTTAAATAAAAATAAATTTTAAAATATAATAAAAGGTTAGTTAAATATAATCTTGGATAGTATTTTGAATTCGACAATTTTTCTTATATCTAGTAAATTAGTTCATCTATAACAAATTTTTTTTTTTTGTAAACGTTTAAAAAATGATTACAGAAACTAAAAGTATTATGCGACCGCCTTTTCAATCTTAATTGAGCTAAAATTTAACTTGAAAAAATGTTAAAAATCCGAAATTAACCGTAAATACTTTTATTAGTTAATTTTGGTTTTAAACTTTATAAGATCAAATTTTAGGTTTTTAAAGCGATTAAATAAAACTTTGAGTTACTGAAGGACGTCTAACTCGTTAGATTTGTTGGGTCTGAATTATAACATCTAAAATATTATATTGTAATAAAAATGCAAAATGAAATACCTTAATTGAAATAAATACCCTATAAATAAACCGTTGATTTATATAAATATCGTGTGACAATAAACACCGCTTTAATTACTCGTTACAGAGTCGTGTATTTTATATGTTATAACTAACTTAAGTTATGGTACTTAATTATGCTTTATTTACCATGGGAAATGTACACGAATTCATACTTTTATTGTTGTCTATGTAATGAAAATTATTTCCTTTACCTTCGTCGCTAAAAAATTAGATTTCCTTTGTGTTATGAATAGATTTTAAAACCACAACATAAACTATTATGTAAAGTGTTGGTACTTGGACAAGAGCCAAGAGTTTCAAATGTTATTATTCTTAAAATCCATAAAATAAACTAGAAACATATAAATGAGGAAAAAGCAAATCTTAATAATAGAGTTAAACATTTTTCTTTTTAGATGGAGAGTACAAAGCAAACAGATCCGGATTGCGGCAAAGAATTTGAAAAATATATGTTTATTTCTCATCTGTATGGGATGCGGTGTGCTTTTAGTGCCGTTTCATCGCTGAGCACATTGGTCGTGAAATTACTGGTAGCTCTATTGAGATATACCGACGTGATACCCGCTGATAAAGGATACTACGAAGCTGGAATGGCTGCACAAGTACGCACACGTCTTAAATTTAGTGGTTTTATATTATTTGACTTTATTGCAGTCGGTTTTTTAGATAAGAGTCATAAAAATATCATGATCGTACTAGCAGCAGAGTTTATTATAAAACATGTGTATTGTAAAATTTCAACATACTATTGAATTTATATGTTTTGATAAAATTATTTAAATTTAACAAAAATTATAACTCATTAGACAAATTATTGCAATAAGATGTTATACACTACTTAGAATTTCTTATTGTAAACTTGGAAATTGTTATTTTTCTTTGCAAAATAATGCCTCGTGAAATTTTTAAACATGTCAGTTTAACGTATCAACCCCTTCAACTACAGATGAATAATATCTATAATAGGTGTTTATAATTACAGAAAAAGTAATTTTTGAGAGTCATTTTTTCCATAGTCAGCTGTCATATTCAATTCAATGTTTCAAGTCTCTTTTCTTATGACATAAACAATAGCACCGATTTTTAAAACGCTCAATTATAACAATCACCTTTTACAATTGAATTGTCGTTGGTTTTCCATGACCATTTCAGGGGCCAATTGATTTTAATAAAAAAAACGTGTCATATACATATGTGTTGGAGAAATTATGTTAAAAAATAATTTTATTTCAAAACATAAATAAAATTTGTTGAAAAACGCATAATTGTCTAACAACGTCGAAGTTTATTTCTAACTTATTATTGCTGTCGATGAATATTCATTTAAAATTAAAAAAATCATATTAAATTTCGAGGGGAAAATGATAAGTTTCCAAAAAAAAATGTTCAACGCGATTTCGTAACCATTAAACTTATTTAATAGTTTATTAAGCTTATTGAGAAGCTTAAGGCATAACGTTTGTGTACAGCAAACATGTATATAAATAGTAAAATAACTTTATACGCGTTGAGTAACGCACATGCAAATATCGCTTATCTAAAATAATATGATCGCGTTAACACATATTACACTAAAATATAAGATTTTAACACAAAACAAATGGCGCACACTCTCGTAGGTATTTGAAAAATCATAAAATTATCAACACCATATAATTTGAATAGCCACACGGTATTTTGAGCCGTAAGAGACGGTTCGTGGACAAGTCGAGAATTGTTCAAATAATAAGTGAATAGAATGATGTCGCCAAAGTTTAGAGATACTATAGTGTATATATATCTATAAACGTTGTAATGTCACGACCTGGAACTATCGGATTAAGGAAAGGTGTGATTTATTTTCCAACTAAATTGCTCGGTGATTTTTCAACGAAAGATCTATTGTTGTACATCACATATTGTCTATTATTTAACTCTCTTATTGTTGTCGATTGTTGCTGTAATATTTAGGACGGAAAACGGTATGCGGAAGCATTTGTGTTCTTAAACCATTATTTGGATATAACGGACGCCATAACGGAAGGACAAAACGAAATGGTGGACGACATAGACTTACGTGGGACGGATTTCCCTACAAACGTACCGCTACCCCAGTCTTTGTATACGACCGCCGAACAACACGAGCAAGTCAGGGATTGGATCCTAACCAACGCTATGGACCGAGATACTAATCAGGTAAAGCTCAATTATTTGACAGACAACAGAACTCCACATGTTAAACTACACTAATAATTCGCAACGACACATTTTTGATTAAAAGAAAATATGAAATATCGGTTAAAGTTTATTTTTGTCGAACCAAATGAACAAAAATAATTAGTTCGTTAACATGAAGCTTTTAATTACCAAGCCCGAATAGTGCAGTGTAGTTTTTCAGTATTGCGTTGGTATAATAATTATAATAATAATAATCACAACAACGATTTACTTAGCTCTGCCAGCAAAGCGCCTTGCGCAGTACTGAGCTAAGTAGATTTTCTGTAGATCTTATCTATAAATAGATAAACGAATTAGTTAAACAAAATAATGACGTACAAATTAGTGATTTCAACGAGTAACTTAGTTTTCATAGTCAAAATCAAACTCACGCCTACACACAGTGCATTTTTTACTATTAACCAATATAATTATTCAAAAAAAAAAAACTATAATTTTGATAACTTTTTTTTTTTTATACTTTTTGTTACACACATTTTTCAATTTATCATCAATCATTAAGCATTATTATATGCGTTCCTGATATTTTATTAGGGTTTCGATTTTATTTTTCCAAATAGCAACATACATATTTAACTAACTTATTTATTAGATAATAATCTAATTAGGAAAATGACTGGTCGATAATAACTTTTGAAACAGTACTTCGGAAGTTAGTAACATATTTACATTTGGTCAGGAGGAGAGGTGCGGTCGAGAAATGTCAAATAATAAATATTGTCTCATCTCCAGTCTTTGTTTTAAAATGTTAATAACTTTCGAAATACTATTTCAAAAGATGTTTTCCTTAATAGTGGTTTCCTTCATTAGATCATTATCTAATCAAGATAGATAACTCAACAAATAAGTTAGTTAATTTTGTATTATTCCATTTGGAAAAATAACTATGACACCATTATAAGGTAAAAGATATGAATATAAAAAATTGATAAATTGTGAAAAGAATGTAATTAAAATAAACAAAACTATATATATTTATATTTCTTTATTAATTAAGTGGTTTATGAAAAATAATCACCTTGTGTGCGAGCAAAATATTAAAGGACCTTCCTAGAAACTTGAAATTTGACACGTTTATACATAAAACGTGCTGTGGGACCTTTGCGTGGCTTATAATTTTTGATTGAATGGCAGTTCATTTTATCCGCGTTACTCTCATTGGTTATGAGCTGAGCCCTCATCCTATGGGTAGTATCCTGCAAGTCCCCAACTTAATCTTTTTTACAGCAAAAAACAACCTATCCATCAATTATCTTTCATATTAGTTATCCCTTGTACGCTAAAAAATTTCAGTAAAATCAATAATTTTTTGTTAATTTAAAATGGACAATAAATTTTTGTTGAATAAACAACATTTTTCGTTAATAGAATAAAACATTTATCAAGCAAACAAATATTTTGTTTTAGTTACACAATAGAATAACTCGTCGGCTGTATTTTATTTTCAGTACAGCATTGTTAAAAAAAACCAGCTCAGTGGGGGGGACGTGGTATAGATGGATCAAGTATAATGATATCTGACAGTGATTTAAATCACAATCATAAAAAACGCTTCGATGCAAATCTATAGACAGTGTTTAATTTTAAAAAATTTATTTAAAAAAAAAAAGTATGTCGAATGAAAGAAGTATATAAATATTATTTCTCATAAAAAAATTATATTGATTGAAAAAATATAAAATCCAGAATTTTAACACAAAAATGGCTACGGTATGAAGACAAAATAAAGTACGAACATTTTTTTACTCCATAATAAACTATATTACATAAGCTTTAATTTAAAATATATATAAAAGTGTCAGTATGTCCGGAACACTCAAAAGTTAATTTTTTGTGAAAAAATTGTCATTTTGAATCCGCCTGTGGGTAAAGAGTCATATTTATAAAAAAAATATACCAAATAATAGGTAAAGACATCAATAATCTATATAAAAAAAAAAAAAATTATTGATATGTTCATTTTTGGCAAGGTTATGGTAGTTTTAAGTAAAACAATTGAAAAAATTAGCGATTTTTTAAATTTGTAATTTTTTTGGAGGTTCCCCCATTTACGGGGAACGAGGGAAATTTTTTCAATTTTTGAGGGTAATGTCTTCGACTAGATACGATTTGTGATCTTTTGACGTATCGTTGAAAGAAATCGGTTTGGTGAAAGCTGAGAAAAAGTGATAACAGACACACAAAAAAAAAAAAAAAAACATAGCAAAACCAATACCTTTTCAGCTTCGCATTGAAGCTAAAATGTAATATTCATATTTTAAAAGTCGAAACGTTTGATTAATGACACTATAATTATATGGAAAATTAGTGAGAAATTAAAAAATTTCCTTGTTTCAAACATTGATTTCGTTTTGCAAGACAATTGTCGGTCGTTATCTAAATTTTTGGTTTTTTTTTTTGTCGTCAAAATAAAACTAATAGAATTTGTTTCGTTTTATAATAACGCAATATTTACTTAAAAATTCTACACACTTGTTTTCGAAAAAAATTCAAGTGAAATAAATTTTTTAGAAAATTTATCGTTTATTTGATTATTGTAATAAAAATATCTCGTAAAATTAATTTGTATATTTTAATTATATAATAAAATTTATTAACAATACTACCCTCCAGTTTTTAGTATAACGTATAAAAAAGTGTGACGAGTAATAAAAAATGTATAATAACGACTAAATCACATAAAATCAAACAAAACAAAACTAAATAAAAAACATAACAATGATTCATTAAAACTTATGAGGTACAATAGATTTGAGGAAAATACTACTGCCAGCAAGCTAGTGATTTTTAAAATAAAAACTATGTGAGGTAATTTCTCACATGCAAAGAATGACTGGTTAATTCATTAAAAGGTAAAAAAATATCAATAACATATGAATACCAAAAAACATTAAATATCGGCAATGTTTGAATATCGAAAACATAAAACATTATAAATCCATAATGTTTTAATTATTTAAAACGTATAACGCAATAATATTATTAACTTTTAAACTGTCATAAGGTAAAAACAAAATAAATAATTTTGATTCAAAACATGATCACACTCAATTAACTAAAACTGTGGTTTATAATATAAACTAAATTCAATTATATTTACAGTAAAATGGTAAATATTAAATATAGTCGTTAATGTTTGAGCTGATACTGTATAATTTTTATCTGATTTTCACTATACAATAACAAGGAGAATAGTTTAATTTTCCCAATTGTTCTGATATTGTCTCGGAGGAGTAATTTCAGTTGTGCTAAATGTTCACATAAATTTTGGAAAATGACTGTTTCCTCGTATGTTTTTGATTTTTTCGCTTTAGCTCAAAAACTAATAAATTATTTAATTCTTAACACAAAACTCTTTATTAATTAAGCAAATAAATATTACTATCTACTCAATTATGATAGTAAATAACTTTCATATGAAATATCACGTGCACCACCTTAGAGGAATACAAAGAAATGATATGCAACTCGGTATCTCCTTAACTAATAATTTATATACTTAAATGATAAAAACAAAAACAATCACCTAACCCAGTTATTTGCATTGTTTTATAATAGTATCATCATCACGTGAAAATAGTAATGACTCATTACATTTCATTACTAATAAGTGATATAAAATTTTTCAAAATAAAAGTTATATTTTTAGATAAAAAGGTATTGACTCACTCAATATCTATAAAATTATAAAACATAATTTTTACTTCTACGCAGTATATAGTACCTTACGTTTTATAAGTTCCGAGAAATACTTTTTTCCTAATACCTCCCATTTCATTCACAAATTTTTATCAACTTCAGTTTTTAAATGAAAATGTATGTGTTTAACTAACTTTCAAATTAAAAAGTGCTTTGTTTATAAAAAAAATATAACATTAATAATATCTTTAAAAATACTATTCCAAAAGATTTTATTAACCAGTCCTTTTCTTAATAATGAGAAAATGATCCAATAGAAAAATTATTGGTTGTTTAACTTTTAATTCAGTATTTTCAAAGTTTTTAACACTTTACTATAATCAATCACAGGAGGTGAACATTGATGTTATTTTTCATATGATAAGTTAGAAATAAAATACAGCTAACATTAAAAATATGTAATAAGGCAAAATCATTTTATTAAAATATGTTTAAACAAATATAATGTTATATAATTATAGAGCCTACCATTGGATCATCGGCAACTGTATTTATCCAACTTAACAGCTCCAGATGGTAGTAAATTCTCTGTTTGTGTTATATCTGGGTGGCCAGTCATTGATACCAAAAAAAGTGCAAGTATTACATTTGAAAGTGGAAAGGTAGCAATAAAAGACGACTGGACAAAAGTTATGACAGTTTCAAAAACAATTCAATCATCGAGTATAAAACAAGTTATAGAATTTGTAATAAAGTGGTGTGGACCTCCAGCACAACAATACTCATTTCACTAATTTTATTCAATATTAAAATTACCAAAAAGATATAAATAATTGAATAATATAACACTTTAAACTTTTTTCTTTTTTACATTAACAGTTTAAATGTAATTCTGTAATTATAAACTTATATTAAACAGATATTAAATGATAATATGTATGAAAATGTCTAGACTTAATTTGTCAAAAAAAATGAACAATCTCTTATCAAATAATTACACTTATTACATAAATTTAACAATACAACTTTAGTTAAAATATTTTTAATTGAGAACAATGACATCATACTAAAATGTTTAATAGCAGTCAATTAACCTACAGTAAACAAATCACCAGCAGATGGCAGAGGTGCTAAACCTCCTTTTACACTTGGTAACTGAGCTAAATCGGGTAAGTTCTGTAAATGTGTATTAACCTCTTGTCGCACTTGACAAACTTTTTGCAATTTACCTTGATACTCCTGAAAACAAAATTGTAATATTTAGATAAATAAATATAGATAAATTCGAAGGATTTATTGCTTAATTTAATAAAAAACCAGACGAACATGTAGATTCTTGTGGTTAAACCGAAAAAGTACCCAACACATAGACAAAAACTAAAAAAATTATTTTATCAAAAGCAATGTTCAAGTAGTCTTATAAAGTGATTAAATTATAAAATAAATATTTGCCCCATGCCAAATGGTTTAATTAACTTGTAATAATTGAAAAACTATACATTTTCTATTCTTTTTCTACCAAGTTTATTAGCATAAATACTTATGAATAATCATTTTAATAATATTAAAAAAACTAAAAAATAAAAATAAAACTGACCTGCAATCTTTGTTCAGCTTGATCAATTAAATCTCTTTGGGATTGAATAAAATCTTGTAGCATAGCAGTTACTTTTTTACGATCCTCCATTTCACACACTAATCTCGTATTATAATCAGTCAATAAAGCTACAGCATCATTAACTTTACGTAAGAGATCTTCAGCTTCACTCTTACCTACAATAAAAACATTTTTACTAATTAAGTATTACTGTAAGAGCTATTGTTTAATAACTAATAGAATTATTGAAATATTAACACAATAAAAATACCAAAAAAAATACATAACATTGGAAAATTAAAATGTATCTTAATGACAATAATAGTTTGTATTAATTCAACCACCACATTAATAAAATGTTAATGAATGGTTGTATTAAACTTATATTTAAGTAAAAATAAAATAAATTTTTTCACATAATGTTATAAATTAAAATCAAATTGAAGAAACTCTCATTGAAATTAGAGCTTAAATAGAAGAAATATAGTCATACATAATTATTAATACAAATAATTTTTTACAGCAACCATTGGACAACCATCAGGAGTAAGTAAATTTTATAGTTTAATGAACTACTGATTTTATTAAAATTATAACAAAAAATTATTAATTAATAATTATTTATTAAAAATCATAACGTCAGTAATGGTAATAATTTTTAATTAGATGAGTTTGATAGTACAATAATATTGTATCATAATTTTTTATATATTGTATAAAAATAAATTTTCTATTTCAATTAAAATAGAATATAATTCATCAGGTAGTTTAAGACGTAACATATATTTTAAAACAAGATTTAATAATAGAATTATAGTGGAATCTCAATGATTCAAAAAACTTGATAAGATAAAATAAATTTTTGTTTCCTTGTGAAACTCCTTGAAAGGAAATCTATAGATAACTCTTAAAAATGTTTGATTTATTGTTATTTCTTACATTGTTGTTTGTGTTTGATTATCTGATTGAATTATATGTGATAAATTAACCTGATAAATTTTATTGAGTTAATCATCATATTGTACTTTTTTATTTTATTCAACTTATACTCCATTACATTATTGTTAGTTTTGATCAATTAGTAACATGTATATTTAAAACTTTCCAAACTGAATTTACCCTTTAAAATTATGATAATTAAAAAAATTAAGCCATAAGTCAACAACCTAAATTATTTATGAAAACACATGTCACTAAAATTCAATTTATCAAATTTCCCATAAATAATAAAGTTTTTACATAATTTATTATTCATACTCATTGTAAGCTTTTAGATGACTTCAACAATAATAAAATACATTATAAATATGATTACATAGATAAAACATTATTAATTGAATATTCACAGTAAACCTTGGGGTCAACACTAATATATAAAATTTAATGTTTCTTTTTTGTAAATGTATAATATCCAAATAACATAAAAATGTATGATAAAAACAGTAGTAATGCTACATTTTTAAGGTTCTATTGATTACATTTGATCTGAAATGAGCAACTGTTTCTCATAAATAAATGTTACAAAAAGCTAAGTAACCTTTTAATTGAGATAACAAGCTCACATCTGCAATTTCTGGTGGAAGTTTGGAAATTCTTTCTCGTACTACTGCATCACATGATGGTGCATTTTCTAAATCCTGTAAATTAAGATTTAAGATATAATAAAATTGGAAGAAATAGTGACATTTGATAGTAACACATAAGATAATTTTTGATATGGAACAAAGTGATTTTTTTTATCACCTTTTTTCACACAACACTAAAATTATTTAACCATATATTTTAATATTTTGGTAAGTAATAGTATAAAATATGATTAAACATTGCTATTTGAAAATTGACAAAAGTTGACACCACTATAAGAAATAGCGGATGATCTTAAATCATTTATAAATAAAAAACCAGAATTTTTTTTTTAATATTTATTTTACGAGCAATTAAGTGGCTTATGACAAACAAATAACTCTGTATTGATCTAAACACTATTTTATGAAGTACATAAAAAAAAAAATTATAGTTTTTTATCAATTTCTCTTGGTTATTAATTAAATGAAATACCTAATAAAAATATCTCCAATAATTATATTAAGGTGTTTAGAATACAAAGGATAAGTGGTATTTAAAAAAAAATGAGTTAAAAAAGCATTAGTCTGAAAATTTATTGTTTTATTATCATAATTTTTTTTTAAAGTACATATAAGTCATGAAAAATAGATTTCATTTTACATTAGTTATTTGAAAACTAAAACTAGAAATCAATTTCAAGTTTAAAAACAATTCACTCATACCTTTTATGTTCTAAATGCTTCAATTGTTATTTTATTTATTAAATTAATTTTAGAAAAAACTTTTTTCAATTTTTTTTACAACATAAAAATGTAATGCATTAATGCTACCTAATACATTTCAATTTCTAAAAAAAGTTAATGAAATAAAAAAGTAGAACCTATGTAGAATATATTAAATTACTATAAATAGAAATAAAATGCATTAAGTTTGAAGACAGTATGAATTCTACAAAAAATAAACAAAATTTTTATTTCAGTAATATACTATTTAACACGGCCGCCGGGGATTGACGGCCGGTTATAGAAAGTGTACCGGAAATCATGTGAAAAAAAGAGGCACGGTACGGGATTAGAACCCGCGACCCAAGGCGTCGTAAAGACAAACCTTACCACTAGGCCACCGTGCACTTATGATTCAGATCCCGATACACTTTCATAGAGGTTGATAACGTGATGTGCGGCTGAGGGAAACACGGTACCGTGTCATATTAATAATAATATTTTAAACTTTCTTAAGAAAATAAATTATTTATACATACATTTAGTGCTTTGATTAGTTCTTCTGGTTCTGGAGGATCATTAACTGGAGTTTTTGGTGATAAAGTAACATGCAACTCTTTAGTACCATCAATTTCTACAACAACTTCTTTTTCTTTTTTTAATCCATTATTTTGTGGTTTGGATTTTTTTGTTTTATGGTTTTCTGTGTGTTTAACTTTTTTATTTGGTGGCTCATCCGTTGAGTTATTTACAGTTTCAGTAGCTACAAAAATTAAATGAAAATATTACTATTTATCTTTAGTAAGAAACAGTAATTGATTAAATATATACCAAAAGAATCTTTGAATTCGTCAATTTGAATTTTACTGTAAACACCTCTTTCCTCCCAAATATTTAATAACCGTGTCAAGCTCTGTCTTGTTTTCAGAGTACAATTATTTAATGAAATTTGTTTAAAAGCTTTAGCCAGTTCTTTGCCAAACTCTTGTCCATACTCAGGTCCTTTTTTTTTACCATTTTGGATAACATCATTTGCAAGGTACATCAATGTTAATTGTTTGGCCTCATTTCCTAAAAATTAATCAAAGTTGTATTAATAATATTAAGTGATAAATACTTGAGTACTTTTTAAATAATAAAAATATAAATAATGAATATACAGACTAGTCTACGAAGTTTTATCAAATCTAATAACTTTTAAACTACTAAATACTTTATTAATACTTTGCATTATTATTTTTTATATATATTTCAAAATAGTCATTTTTGATCTTTTTTTATAAAAATTTTTGGTAGATTAATAACAATTTCATGGTGAATACTTATTGAATTATAAGTATTTTAATACATAGGGTAAGTATGTAGAATATATATATATATATATATATATATATACTCTTGTATATATTATAAATGTACACCAGTACAAGCTTTACATATCTAGATATCTTTAAAGTAACACAAAGTAGCATTAAAAATGTCTTTACATATAATAATAATGATAAAAAATGTTTTACTGTTAAAGTATAAACTATAAATACAAGTATATCATTATCGTATAAAATGTTTTATGAAAACTATTATAATAAATCATATAATAAAAATACAAGTATGCTTAATAGCATGTTAATAGATATTAATAAATTTCTTATTTTTAAGTCATATAATGGTATTAAAAAATATTCTATTAGTTCTTCTATCATATAATTATAAAATTTCATAATTGATTAAATATTTGTTTTTAAAATACTATAAAAAGAATTAATCAAGAAATAAAGTTTTAGCTAATATTTATTTACCTGTTGATATTTCCTTAGCCCAAATTTTGACAACTGTATGAGCATACTTTCGATGATGAATTAACCAAAGTGATAAAGTTTGAATACTTTGTTGTGATGAATTTAGTTCTTTTAAACGTTTATTTAAGCCACTTTCAGTAAATCCAGACATATTATACGAGTAAAATATGTTTTTTTTACTTTTGGTATCAAAAATTTTAATTTTACATTTTATTTGTGAACTACTCAAATTAGCAATGATTTGATTACGTTTATTTTCATGTTGTAATTTATTTGATGGTTACCTAAATAATAACTAATATTAAACTCTAGGTCTTGGCGTATTATATTTTATTAAATTAATAATTATTAACTAAAAAAATTATACAATAATATCCTAATGGGCTTAATGAATATTAATAAAATACATTATTCCAGAAAAGTATTTAAAAATTATTTTAAAAAAAATGAGTTAACAAATATTTATATTAATACTTACAATATTGTCTTATAAAGAGTATAATACGAAGTGTATTTTGAGCCGACAGTTAACAATTAAACTACAAAACCAACTAAAGACTCATGAAGACACACTAAATTGAAGTGAAATTTAACCATCACATGTTTAATGTTTACATACTACGTTTTTCAAAGAGTTCTAACACAAGTGATGTTTTTAACCTCATTGTAGAACCATTAACTGATAAAAAAAAGTTTTATCTGATAATAACAAAACCAACTTGGTTACGAGAATTTATTTGTAATTTACACAGATAAAGATAATAAACTAGTATTGCTAACTGTGTTACATTGTCTGTGTTTTTCATAGATAGCCGCCATCTTATTTAAGGCCAAAAATTTTTGTTTCTTATACTTCGTGTACATGTTATTTTGTTATCAGAGCAATAAATTGTTAATGACAAAAATGTTTGTATATACTATTTAGGAAAAAAATGGCGATTATTTGACTTCAGAAATTATCATAAAATAGCAATCTAGTTAATTATCTATTTCTATATTCAAATTCGATTTATCCACATGGCTTACAATTTATAATTGTAATTTTTTGTATGATAAGTTTGCTCTGATAATAAATTAATTTGTATACGAAGAAAAATGTTTGACCTCAAAAAAGATGGCTGCTATTATGCTTTAATGTGAACATAGGCAATATAGGATAGGTTGCGATCTAGTTTATTTTTAATATTTATGGCTAAGTCATTTATCAATATTTTTTATACATTTCAATATTTAACCACAGGCTAAATCAGAATGGTACACTGATAAGAAATTATACAGTCTCTTAAGAAAATACGGTAATTTTGGCTAAATTACATCCAGTGCGACCACCAAATTAGAAGAAAAAAATACTGTATCAAATTCTTTGTACCTTACGCTATTTTTTATCTTGGCGGTCGATGATTAAAAATGTATACAATATGATTCATTTATAATGGACCATTTAATTAATTAAAAAATAAAAATAATATTGACAATTTTTGGTTTTTATTTTAATCATAGGAGAGCAAGTGCCCTGTACCAACGACACCGTCTCCCAACTCTTAAACAAAATTACAATAGATTAGCTAACTCTCTCAAGAAAGTTTTATCTAAAAATAAAGATCTTTCATTTGAAAATTACATGACTAACCTCTCGGCCAAAGATAGAAAACAACAAAACAAACTCTCCAATATAAAGCCACATCGCCCCCAATAAAAAACCCAGATGGTAGTCTTGCTTCTTCTGATGCTGAAAAAGCAGAACTATTCAAAAATCATCTTCAGGAAACTTTCCTACCTAACCCTGAAACATCCTCAATAGCTACTACAAACACTGTACAAATGTATCTTGACTCTCCTCTCCCTATATCTCTACCAGTAAAACATTTCACGCCCAGTGAAGTAAAATATACGATACAAAAATACTCGCTTAGGAAATCCTCAAGATTTGACTTAATTACAGCCGAAGTCACCAGATGCTTACCAAAACGTGCAATCATCGTTCTTATCCACATTTTCAACGCTACCCTAAGGCTCTCATACTTCCCTCTTCTATGAAAATTCTTTAAAATCATTTTAATCCCTAAACCAAACAAACCACCTGACTCCGTAAATTCTTACAGATCAGCTTACTACCGTTTTTCGCCAAAATACTGGAAAGGGTTTTGCTTCCGATCATGTTCGATAAAAATTTATACCTGACTATCAATTTGGTTTTCGTGCTCAACACTCGACTATTCACCAAGTCCATAGAGTTGTTGACGCCGACTCTTTTGCCCTCGAAAAAAAAACTTTACTGCACCTGCGCATTCCTTGACATATCCCAGACCTTCGACAGAGTATGACACGAAGGTCTGCTATACAAATTAAAGCAATTCCTACACCCAACATATTACATAATACTGAAATCATATCTCACAGACCGCTACTTCCAGGTTCATTATGGCTCTTCAGACTCTAATACAGCAGGAATTGCGGCAGGTGTTCCGCAAGGCGGAATACTCTCCCCAATTCTTTACAATATTTATACATCCGACCAACCGACTACGCCCAACACTTTAGTAGCAGACTATGCGGATGATAAAGTCATAATATCATCCAGTCCAGATCCTATTATAGCCTCCAAAAACCTACAAAATCATCTCTCACTTATGGAAGATTGGTACAAAAAGTGGCGATTTAAAATAAACCAAGCCAAATCAGTACATACTACATTCACACTTAAATTATCACCATGTCCAGAGGTATCAATTTTTGGCGCTCGGATCCCCTCATTCCCAAACGTTAAATAACTCGGGCTAACTATTGATCGCCGCATTACTTGGGCTCAACACATCAAAGCCAAAACATCACAATTAAACTCCCGTTTAGAAATACTCAAAACCCTAATCGTCAACAACAAACACTTAAACCTAAATATTAAACTACTCCTTTACAAATCTCTCCTAAAGCCAATCTGGACGTACGGCTTACAGCTATGGGGCAATGCAAAAATTTCTAATCTAAATAAAATTCAACGGTTCCAAAATAAAATACTTAGAAAAATTACCAGTTGTTCACCATATGTGTCAAATCACTCTCTGCATAAAGATCTACGTATGAAAACAATTCAAGAAGAGGCAAAAAATTATTATAAACGTTTCCACCTACGCCTTAGCTCTCATCCAAACGAGCTCATAAAAAATCTATCTTCATTAACCATCCCTGGTAACCCTCCTCGCCGCTTAAAGCATAAATGGTGCAGAGACCTACTCAATTCATAAAAAAAAAAAAATATGTGTATAAGGATAAAACAAAATAATTAAAAGACGAAAGTGTCATCGGTGGGTGGCTTCTTCATTCATTATTTCATTCTTTTTTATCTTAGCTAATACTCTTATTGTGTTGTTTGTGTATATATTAATAAAGAAAAAAAAATTAATTATATGTTTTTCTAATTTTTTTTAATTCTGTTATTTTTAATGTTCATTAAGGTAGTCCTTAATTTTAAATGTTTCCATTTTTGTTACTTTATATATATGCAAGGGTGGACTTAGGTTTGTGGGGGTCCCTTGGCTGCAGCCCAATCAGTCCTCCCCTAAATCTGGCTCTAGGGCCCCTTATACATAAACAAGGAAATATATTTTTTTACTTATTAAATAACAGTTATTATCATATTTGTGATACCAATGTATACCAAATTTGTGGGGGCCCCTGGGCTGCAGCCCACTTAGCCCTCCCCTAAATCCGGCCCTGTATATATGCTAAAATCTCCCAATTTTATAAAAAAATCGTGATAACTTATAACATATTGGCTTAAAAGTTATATAGAAAAGGTATTAATATGGGTTTTGTATTTTGATTAATTGAATAATTATTGTCGGATTTATAAAAAAAGACCACCAGTATCCATAATATTAAGAGACCCTTATACCTAATCCTAGGTCTCAGTTTTCAAATCTTTATTAATTTATACTGAAATGATAAGTCTCATATCCTGTTTCCTTATCAATATTTGACCAATCATTTATTTGTTACTTTAAATCAGTATTGATATATTTTAAACATTTTGTTTTAAACACTCAAAACAAACAAAAAACGTTTTATTTAAAAAGTATATTTTAAACAAGTAAGAATAACATTATTTAAAACAATAAAAATGTTTTTATTAAATATTTTATATTTATTAATGGAAATTTAGTTTAAAAGTCACATGTTAACAGTTAAATGTATTTAGTGTCTACGTATTAAAAAAAAATTACCTATTTAAATTAATAAAACTTTATTAACCATGTAAGAGGCTTGAGTGTTTTAACACATTTTTTTTTAAAAAGATAATTTTTATAAGGAAATCCATGAGCCTAAAAGGTGATTATTTTAGGCTAATTTCTGGATGATAAATACTGATATACTTGTAATTGTAGGTTATATCCAGTTGATCTTCATTCAAACTATAACCCAAATATCTAGGATCAGTAAGTAAGCTAAAAAATAATAGTCTGTCTAAGCCATTTTAAAACAGTTATAAATAACTCTAACAAACTTTCATTGCAAATTCAACCTCAAAAATATTTTTAAATCTAACCAGATGAAGATAGCATCACTAATAGAACATGAAAGAGCTTGTACTCTATCTAAAGTAATTGAAATCTTTTTAAGTGTAGTTAGGAATATTTTAGTACTATTTTTAGATTACAAAGTCTTATTTTGTCCAACTCTATTAGTAACATTTAGTTTTGTTTCAGATGTCTACTAATGCTAACCCACAACAGAATTTATTAAAAAAATCTTTAATATTTTTAATGTAATACATAAAAATATAAATATAAAAATAAATTATTATATAGTGTTCAGTAAGTAAAGAAATGGGTTTATATTGTTCTCATTGTTTGTAACAATTGACCTGTTTCTTTACTAATTGAACACTCTGTATAATTATAATTTATTTTATTACATTAAATGTCATATAATATTTTAAACTATTTTCCAAGATTTTTATTATTCATTTTTTTTAAATTAAAACGATTAAAATAATTTTTTTTTAACGTATTTTTGATAAACCCTGCTCTACATCAATTTAGACAAGCAAAAAATTACGACATCAAAAGCATCATCCTTTGAGATGATGTTTTTGATGACATAATTTTAGCTATCGCATCATAGAGCTCATAGAGCGCGCCATAATAAATATAATAGAAAATATTTTATATTTAGCTTCATAGAAATCGAAGATAGAATGCAAAAACATGGATTAAAATGGTAAAAAAAATGGTAGCACAATGTGGACGTGGTTGGGTTGGGACAAGTATAGATGATATCTGATAATGATTAAAATCACTATCGTAAGAAACGATTCGATGTAGATAGTATTTAATATTTAGAAGGAATTATTGAATTATTCCAATAGCAACATCAAATTTTATTTCCTTCATTATTTCTGAGTAATAGTTCTTTGATTTATAAGTATAATACGAATTTGTATTAAGTAGTAATTTGTATAAGTATATACTTATTATAGAAATTAAATATAGTATGAAATTGATATTCAATAATTTAATTTTTGATATCATTTTGACTTAATAATAACGAGTATTTACATAAAAAAAATAATTTAAAACAAAAAAAATTATATTCTTCAAATTATTATTTATTTTGATTTTTAATATGTTAAAAATTATCCGTGCAAAAATTCGTTACAAAATGTCATGTTTAACTTATTTTTTTGGTACCAAAAGTTGTTTTTTACGAAATTTAATGATAAAATAAGTTGAATTTTTTACCAAAACCTTCATTTTTCAACTTGCAAGTTTAAGATTGACATCATTAAATAGAAAATTTTATGAGGATTTAAAAAACCATATTGTTTAGATTGATATGTAATCAGGTACTTATATAATTACTAGAAACAGTAAATTTATGAGAAAAGTTTAATTTTTCGTTAAAATCACTATTTTTTACATTTTTATCGTAAATAAATCACTTCAATAGAAGTAATACTAATCATTTCTATGTAAGTCTTGGTGTTTAAAAAGATGCTGTAATTTGAAATATTTAGATTTTAATTATTAATTAATTATTTAAAAATAACCCAAAAAAATCATTTAATAGTATATGGCGACGAAATCATAGGTGAAACTAAATCCGATCCGACTAGGCTATGATCAGACCTAAAATTTATGACCGTTACCGGATAATAATCGTAAAACTTGATCAGTCGATGTTCCATAGGAATAATATTACAAAATTATATGTTATACCCACTGTACAATTAATGTTTCAGTACGTCGGGGGGGCATTTTTTTAGTGTTTCATACGTAACATCACTTTGAAACATAAATAAGCTGTTATATGGTTGTTGTTTTTGGTTAATACAAATTAAGTACAAAGTAAATGTCCACGCGATATCATTTTGACTTAGTACAAATTTGGTACGAATGTAACATACATACTACGTTCCTCCGAAATATTATACTATGTATTATAACTTGGAAATTTAATTATAGAAATATATTAAAAAAAAAAATATTTTGTTATAAGACACTGTAATTGCCCATCAATACCTGGAAAATCCAAAAACCTCATGTGACGTATGCCTTCAATCTTTTATTTTAAGGGATCGGCTACAAACGATCAACAACTCTGCAGTAAACGCGTTATTATGTTATGTACAATCTTACAATTTTTATGTTAGTCTGTATAATTATATAACTATTATTAATTGTTTAATTATAATTATTTTTTTTCTTATATTTTTTAATAGTAGTTGAACAAACAAAAAAGGTAAGTTATACAATTTACATATTTACACTTGTTATAATACCGCGTCCACACTTAATAACATTGCCATATAAGTACATTTAGTGGTGTAAAATTTTAAGGATTGCAACTTATTAATCAATTTGGAAATCGTTTTTTAAAAACTCTTACAAATACCAACTTGAAATTTTATGATGTGACATAAATAAAGTTTTAAAAATTTATTTATTAAAACTTTAAAAATGTATAAAATAATATATATATAAATAAAATAATATATATATATATAAAATTATAAAAAAATGTTTAGGAGAAGTTACAACTAGATACTTCAAACAAATGTTAAAATTGGAAAAACAGAAATTAACAACATCTTCAAACAAATCAAAGAACTCTAATATGCTTATACATCCAATATTAGAATCTGGTATGAATTCAAATTTAGATGTTAATTGTAGTTCTATATCATTGTCTCTTAATGTAATAGAAAATTCTTTAGTTACATCAATTAGATGGTATAGAATACTATAAAGCTACTGAACTAAGAATGTTTGTTCTACACTCAGGATTAATAGTTTTAAAAGAAAATTTAAATAAATTAAAGTATTCTCATTTTAAACTCTTGGTGTGTGCAGTAAGAATTTTAATATCTCTTGATACATGTCAAACTTCAAATGATTTAGCTCAAAACTTACTGAATGAATTTGTTTCTCAGTACTCTTCTTTGTATGGGGTTCATTCTGTGACTTATAACTTTCATAGCTTATTACATTTTCCTATGTATGTTAAAATTCATGGTTATCTTCATAATTTTAGTTTAATTTGAAAATTATTTACAATACATAAAAAAATTAAAAAAAAGTGCCAAATATTCTCTTTCAGAAGTAACTAATAGAGTTATTAAAAAACAAAAACATTCAATATCCACTAGTATAATTCTTGATCCTATTGTCACTTTAAATAATTATAATAAAGTAATTATTAATACATGCAATAAATGTGATAAATATATAATATTAAAAATAGTGACATTGTTATGGTTAACCACATCATAAACCAAAAAATGAATCATTTTAGCTTCGATGCGAAGCTGAGAAGGTATTAATTTTACTATGTTTTTTTTTTTTTTTTGTGTGTGTGTGTCTGTCTGTTACCACTTTTTCTCAGCTCTCACCAAACCGATTTCTTTCAATGATACGTCAAAAGATCACAAATCATATCTATTAGAAGACATTGCCCTCAAAAATTGAAAAAATTTCCCTTATTCCCCGTAAATGGAGGAAACTTCCAAAAAAATTACAAATTTAAAAATTGCTAAATTTCGAAATTTTTTTTTCTTAAAACTGTCATAACTTTTTCAAAAATGACCAAATCAATATAATTTTTTTTATATAGATGCTTATTGTCTTTACCTATTATTTGATATATTTTTTATAAATCTGACTCTTTACCTGCCTACAGGGGGGATTCAAAATGACAACTTTTTCAATAAACATTTACTTTTTTAACTTAACTTTTGAAAGTGTTCTGGAAATACTGACACTTTTATATATATCTTAAATTAAAGCTAATGTAATATACTTAATTATGGAAAAAAAAAATTTCGGACTTTATTTTGTCTTCACGATGAAAATGGCTAACGAATGCTATTTTTGGGTGAAAATTCTCTATTATTTTTTTACATTTTTAACTCTATAATGCTATAACTTAAACACTATCTAAAGATTTGCATCGAAGCGTTTTTTTTTTTGATAGTGTTTTTAATCACTGTCAGATATCATTATACTTGATCCAACTATGCAGGTCACTACTGTGCCGCGACCCCCCTGTAATGGTTTTTTTTTTATATTCAAAATTTTTTAATTCATCTTCAACTCTTATTGAGTCTATTACATCTTCCATATTTCTGATATATAATTCAAATGTTTTTTATTTGTATATCTAATGAACAAGCAGTTATATCAATTTTAAATCGTTCACTTTTTGCAATACCTTATTAAATTAACTTATTAACACAATCTGGGTATAAATTATTAATTATTCAAAATGCATTCATTTTTGTATAATTTTTATATTTTATGAGTATGTTTACTAATTATTAGATTTAATAGCCTACTATAATGTTTCATATAATTGTAATATATTGTGATACTATTTTAATAATTTGTATAATATTGACATACATACATGGTTTAATACAGTTATGTTTATTTTCGACTTGCTTCAAGTGATGTTATTTTTGTGTGGTGGTTATGTATTTAGTCTAAATTATTATTTATATGTTAATAACACTTATTGTTTCAATAAACATAATTAATACAATTAAAGGTGTTTTTAATGTACTAAAAAGGTAAAAAAGTTCTGACTACTAAAGCCCAAATTTAATATTCCATGAATATTATTATTGTTTTTTAATATACGTCACGGTTATAACATTTTATCAAAAGATTAAAGAAATGTTTATTGTAAGTACATCTAGCATATTATGACGACATTATCTTTAAATTTTCCGGTAATATTCCAATCAAACATACACACAACGTATCTAGGGGATGTGTATACAATGTTTGAAGGAAACATACTATTATTGCTTATAAATAACAAACCTTAAATATTTTATGTGTTGAAAAATAAACGGTTATTAACAAGCTCGGTGATATCGCCTTTACATAATAGTAATAACGTATGGGTGTTACATGTTCCCATGAAACGTTTTAAGAACATCAATGATATGTAACATTGCACAGTGGGTATACACTTAAATTATGGTAATCTAAGAATTTTATATTAGCTAAATAATAATAAGGAATTAAGTCCTAAACATTAATAGCGGTAAAGTTTTTACCGATTTAAAACACAATAGATTAACAATTGTATTTCAAATCAGTAAGTTTTAATTATCATTTTATTAATGTAAATAATTATTACGAACACCAAATAGTGATTTTGAAGAAATATCGTTGAATATTGACTAGTAGTAATCAAACATTTTTTAATGCGCTCTAACTAAATTGGTTTGACTATTTTTAATAACAAATCTTAGAACAAGAACTAAAATTTTTATCTTCTATTGATATTGTATAATAGAATCTTCTAGTATCGAATTGCAAAATAACTAAATAGAAAAATTTAGGATGGCCAATTTAATTTATCTTTTGTATATATTATCCAACTGGTAGGCTATATTCACATAGTTTCACTAGAATACGACAAAAAAAAACAAGTTACTGAAAACTTGATTCAATGTTTTTGGCCCGATCTAACTCAAAGGTATAGTTTCGCCTAAGAATGTTATAATAACAAAATCCTTCTAATTAATATAAAAAATATTTGTTTGGTTATTGGGTTACATTGGTATAATCAATATATATACTTAAATTAAAAAATATGAAGTATATCTATATAAATAATTATGTAATAATATAAAAAGACTAATTAAGTTCTTAATATTTCAATTGTAGCATATGTTTTAACACCAAAAATTACATAGTAATCATTTGATTGATTTCTATTAAAATGATTTATTACGATAAAATTGTAAAAAAAATAATGATTTTAACGATAATTGAGCTTTTCTTATAAATTTACTATTAATTATAATTGTACTAAGTTTCTGACCGCATACCAATCTACACAATACGATTTTTTAATTCTCATAAAATTTTATATTAAATAATATTATTTTAAAACTTGCAGTTGAGCTAAAAAAAGTTAAAATCTTCAACATGTATTATTATAAACTTTCATAAAAATCAACTCTAAAGGACCAAAAAAGAGGTTTTGAATAGAAATATTTCACGGATAATTTATAACTTGTAAATAATCTGAAGTAATATTAGTTTGTAAACATTTTTTTTGCTTTAAATTAATTTTTAATATGTAACACTCGTTTCTTCTAGTTAATAATAGTCTGAAAAAGAGGTAATAGAAAAAATCTCATTGCAGATTTGAAAACAGCACAAAAATTGTTTTAGAAAAATATTCTTTGGTCTAGAATGTTTTAGTAATACAATTTTTCTATGTCATTTAGTATTAAACAAATTCTTAATTATAGTCTTAATATTCTTATTATTTGTGGAGATATTTAATTTTAAAAATGCATATTTAAAATAAAGTAGTTTTATTACTTTTATATTTTTTAAGTAGATCTAAGGTCTCTATAAAAAATTTTATATTGATTTATCATTTTTTAAAAAGTTATAACAGTTTTAAAAATGTCAAAAATTAACGATTTTAAGAACTTAATTTTTGGGGACATTCATCCATTTACGGAGGATAAAGGAAATTTTTTAATTTATGAGGGTAATGCCATCAACTAGATACAATTTGTGATCTTTTAACGTATTGTTCATCAGTATCAGTCCAGTGAAAGCAGAGAACAAGTTGTAAGAGATACAAAAAAAATATAACAGTAAAATTAATACCTTTTCAGCTTTGCATCAAAGCTAAAATCTGTTGTCTAAAATTTTTTAAAAGGGGAAATCGTTATCGTGACTCTCCTCTAATGTGTGCTCCAGGATAATTATGAGGTTTATTTCTTTCAGTAACGAAAAAATCAACTTCTCTATTTCGTTTTTATTAAAAAATTTCCACTAGTACTCCCCTAATTTGAATATGACTTGAAATTTTAAATATTTTTTATTGGTGATGTTTTTCTTTAGGTATTGCGATAAAAAAAAAATGTATACAATTAAACATGCCCAAGTTAAAACCTTATTTGCCATAAAACAAAAACATATCATTCTTGAAAATTTTGTTATTGTTTGGTTTTGTATTTTAATATACTAATTTGTTAACAATATTATATTTTTTAGATCTAACGAGATAACTTTGCCCTATGCGTCAACTTGCCCTGCTCTCCTCTATATTAGTTTTTTTATGGGCAATTGTAAGACCATTTCTGTCTATATAAAACTACGTAAAGGAGTATGTATATTCCTACTAAGTTAAATGGTTGCATTTCCATCTTTGCAACTAACGAAATGTTTTAACAAATGCGTTTTTTAAGTTTTTCAGGACTGGAGTAATTTTAATAGATTTTTCTTCAAAATCAGCATGAAGTCAGTTGAAGGTCAAGTTGAGCTCTAAGAAACATAATACAATAAGCTTTCTAAAATAATTATTTAGTTATTGAAATTCTATATGGCTTTACTTAAGGAAATTTATGAAAATGTCTTAAATTATCAAGCCCCTAATTTGTGTGTGTACTTGGTTTCCAAATAATATGAGATATGAGTAACATTATTTTAATATTTAACAATTTTTAAGTATTCATATTTAATTTTTACTTTAAATATTTCAATTTTTGTTAAATCGTGAAATTTTAAATCACTAAAAATATACTATAAATCATCTCAAAAAATAAGTTCTTTAAACATTAGAAAACCACATTTTACTAAGTATTTGTTATTAACATGACGTAAATAAATTCTGAATAATATTTCTAAAATACATGAAAAAAAAAAATAATTCATAAATTTTAATATTATATCTGGATATAAGAAACAATTTTATAAGTTAGCTAAAGTTTATTCATAATTATTTTAACAAAAGTTAAATAAATATAAGCATAGCAACCTTGGTATTCTAAAATAAATAAAATTTAGAAATGTTAGTGTTCGTTTAATAGATATATATTTCAAAATTCATGAATATTTTAAATTGTACCTACATTTTTGAAAAATACTTCAAGGTTATCGACAAAGACAATAAATTTATGTGATTTAGGCTAAGAGAAATCTAAATAGACAATTTTTATTATTTATTATTCATTTGTTTATTACCTAGTTCATTTGAAATCAACAGTTAGACATTTTTAGTAAACATCATGTTTACTAAAGATGTTCAGAAAAAATGGATTATTTTTTTCTTATCTATTTATAATAACCGAATATAATATAAAACTAGGAATATTAAGTATGCTTATTAAGTAATTTTATAACTAACCTTTTTTCTTTTTGATTGACAATATTATTGATATTTTTTATTTAAAGCCTGAACTGCATTTTTTTTATAAATATAAGAAACATGGTATGTATTATTGGTAATTATCTTTTTATTAATTTATATATTGTTATGAGTCTAGTTCTTATAGCATAGGCTCATTGACTTAATTGTTATATCAGGGTCGTCGTAAAACAATTATAGTACCATACAGAATTATAGTCATAACTCACTACTAAATCGCATGTTACTGTTTTGTAATTTTTTTCCTGACTTTCCATCACCATAATTTAGCCATATTAAAGAAAATGATACTTTAAATATTATTTTATATTAAAATGATACTTAAAATTTGTTTATTTATATTTATTTTTTTCTGTTTTAAGGTCTTAGTAATATGTTTATCTTATTATACACCTATACTTAAATATTGTTTTTATATAATGTATATTAACTGTACTCATTGCCTGTATAGCCGTTACTTAAACAATAAATAAATAAACAAATAAATACATCGTAATTGTACATACAATTGTATGTAATTATTTTTATTTGAGTTACTATAATAATTCAAATAAAAAGAATAGTTATTAGTTGTTGAGTAATAAAATTATTTTGGTTATGGTTATTATGTTTTAATTAATATAATATATCTCTCAGTGTACGTGTACAAAGGTTTTAGTATATAATAAATATTGATAATGGTTTAAATAATAGAAAAATAAAGTGATTTTGATTTATTAACATAAAAATTATTGTGATAAATATCAATAACACCACGAGTATTAATTGTTATAAGTTAGAAGGCACCTTAAGTGTCTACTTAGAGTAGTATAATGGCTATACATGTATGCAAGTGCATATGAATCTCAAACTTGACTATTGAAATAGACACAAAGATCTTGCTCTATCGATTTAACCCATATAAACGCTTTTGATCTATTAATTTAATTATTTTATTTTTATACAGCTGATCACTTCTTACATATAAGTCGAATAAATAATAAGCGAGATGGTTTTTTGGTGTTGTTTAGGACGTTTGAGTTAACATTTTATGCAAGACGTGTCACTAATTTTACTGTTATATCTTAATTAAATGATTGTGATGATTATTACCGAAGAGTAGTGAGACAGAGAAATCTATAGTGATAAAATTAACAGCACCTGCGTTAAAACTATTTGTTTGATCTACTTTGTCTTTTTTTTTTATATTATAAATTACAAATTATTATTATATTATAAGCGCACTGTTCAGTGCCGCCCTGGTTTTTATTATTGTTATCGAGTATTAGTGTATAGGCGTTGAAAAACGCGACGCCTCCCACTATGTAAGCGACCAAAAATAAAGTTTCGAAATTTGTTTATAATAATGTTTTTTTTAGTTATTTATTCATATATTTAAGTAAAGCATACAGTCCACATATAGCTCGAAACACTCTTTAGTCATTTTCTTCATTAGATCATTATATAATAAACAGGCTAATATATTATGCATGTTATTATTTGAAAAAATAAAGTTGACATTCTTATAAGCTATAAGTAATGAATATTAAAAATACTTCATTATTAATAAATTGAGACAAGCACGTATGAAAAAAAAATCAAATATTAGTTATCAATGTTATTTTTATTTCATCGAAAAATGTACTGGATAATAAAATTTTGACGACATTTTATTTGATAATAAAAAATGATAAATTTTATACTAGAGAAAAAACTTTTAAACTATATTTTAACAATCGCTTAATTATAAATGTATTTTTATCAAGGTTGCGAAAATTAGTAAACTTTTTAAACTCGTTAAAATTAAAAGTAGTATGTTAAGTTAGGTTACTTATATATATTTTTAACTTAGGTCATTTAAAAGTAAACATTACATTGTTTTAATGTTGTTGAATTTAATTTATTATTCTGGTTAAGAAGTAACAAGACGAATAAAAAATTAAAATTGTAAACAAATTAAGCCTTGAATTTTATTTAAGAAAATGACGATAAAATTTATTTTGCAGATTAAGATAAAATCAGTTATAACACTATGTATTCTTTTCTTTATGTTTTATGAAGTTATAACAAGTAATAATTATTTATTAATATACTCTTGTAAATTAATATCATCGCTATAAAGTTTATACATGCACAATAAAATTTTTAATAAATAATGACTAATATATTAATTTTATTTTTTGTATGAGATATTTTATAATAAATAACATATTTTATGTTTTTTTAGTATACCATTATGATAGTAAGTTTTTTTCTTCGATACGTGTTAAAACAATTGATACAACAATATTATAATTAAGAATTAAAATATTAATAAAAAGAGTTTGAACAATATTATTAAAACAAAGACAATATGATATTGCATGTATTATTTATACATTAATATATTTATATTAATATATAACTTATACATTGATCTGTTTATTATAAACCACTTACAAAATACATACAATATTGAAATTCAATTTTTTTCTTGTTTAGTTACATATATTTTTGGATAAATCATTCATTAATTATTTTTTATCGGCATCCTTTATAACTTATAGGATTGTCCACATTATTTTTTGAACTGAAACATATATATTTAACTTATTTATAAAATAGAAAATTATCTAATTAAGAAAATGACTGGTCGATAACAACATTTGACCCATTATTTTGGAAGTTATTAACATTTTAAAATATATACCAGTGATGAAACAATATATATATTATTTGACAAATCTCAACCGCACCTTTCCTCTTGACCAAGTGTAAATATGTTAATAACTTTTGACGAATTATTGGTTCAAAAAATTGTTATCGACCAATCATTTTCTTAATAAGATATATATTTTTTTTATAAGCTGTCGAGTACACACTGTCTTTATTTCTTGTTATTCCGACTATTTTTAAAATTGTACGTGGCAATAAGGATAGATACCGGCCATTGTGTATGTGTATATGCTCACGAACACAGGTGTATAATCGGTCGTATCGTGATTGTGCGTTTAATAAAATATCAGGAACAATGTATTATAAAAAAACCAATTCTTATTACTAAACAAAACCCTTTTACTATACCATTCCCTTAATTTATTAACATAAGCTAGTTCAATGTATAAATTGTTAAAAAAAAAAAATAAAGATGACACACTTATAAGGTATAAGAGATGAATTAAAAAAGTAATTAATAACTAGTATATCGAAAAATACATGAAGCTTAAAAATCTCGAATGTAATTTTCGTAACATAATTATTATTTTAAGAGAAATCAAATGGCTAGCGTTAAAAGAATCGTCTTGTATAATACCATAATAAAACTAAATGGTTTTATTATGGTATTTACCAAAACAGTTGATCGGATAAAAAAAATTGTAAGAACAAAGTTGTTTGTAAATTTTTATTTTATCATAATATAAATCCAAAAATAGGGGTTCCCACTTAAGAAAATTATAAATAAGAATTTTTATCCTCGAAGGGGTGAGAACAAAAATGATTTAACAACTTATAATTGTTAAGTTTTTTGATCCTAACATTTCTTCTATTTACAAAAGTTTAAAATTCTCTAATTTCTGAGAAAATAAGTATTTTATCAGATTTTGATCACTGTATATTTTTAAATCATTAATGACAACATAAAACATTAAATAGATAAAATGTTTCAAATTATCAATTAGTGTGATACGCACTATCGATTAGTTAGACTACCGGTATATTAATTATGTGAGTAATTGAGAACTAATGAGAAACGGATGTTTATGTATATATACAAATAACATGTTTAATATTACTAATAATACTTATGAAAATGTAGGAAATCAAGAATTTTTTTGACATATTACTTTCTTTTAAATTTTTACTATTTAGTTAAACTCTTTATAAAAGAACAAGATTTTTATTTACCACTCTCTTTCTTACATTATTCAATTACAAATTATAAATTTCAAGATAATTTGAGTAGAAATTAAAAGTTTAACATATTAAAAGCTATAAAACGGTGTTTTATTAGTGGGAATTAGTCAAAACTTGTAATGTTGCAAAATTTGTACTAGTTTTTTTTTAATAAATATTATCAGTTCTACAGAGTGCATAGACGTACCATTTCATTTTTTAATGCTTTTGCCGTTTGTAAAAACCACATTTTCTTTACAGATTTTTTTTTTTCTAAAAACAAACGTTGCGATTAACCATTGTGACAAACAGGCTGCTGTTTTTTTTTGTTTGTGTGAAATAAAACGTTGAGATATGATGGTGTGAGGCGCACTAACTATGGCCGGTGGTGAACCGGCACATCTGGAGAACGTCCATCAACAACTCCAAGTATTCGTAAAACCCCCGTTTTTATGCTCCCTTCATTTATATCGTGTTTTCTTTCATTTTGTTTTTTTAATCTTTATATAAATATACATGATACAT